GGCGGCGGGCCCGGGCCAAGATGATGAAGTTTCGGTTCCGGCGGCAGGGCGCCGACCCGCAGCGCGAGAAGCTCAAGCAGGAACTCTTCGCCTTCCACAAGGTGCTGGGGCAGGGGCAGCGGGGGTCGCGCGGACTGGGGGGCGGGGGAGGGGCGGCGGCGCCCCTGGCCTCGCGCTCTTCCCCCACCCCCCACGGGCTCCGGCTGGGGTCACCGCCGACCTTGCGGGCCGTCTCCCCGTCTCTGGGCCCGACTCCTGTCCTCAGTCTGCCCGGTGTCGCCGCCTCCCGCCGACCCGTCTCCCCCATCCCTCTGCCTCTCCTTTGCTCGGTCTCTGTCTCTGCGTCTTGGAGTCTCTGCCTGTCTTTCCCTGCTCTGCATGTCTCTCACTCTTTTCTTATCGCTCCTTCTCCGGGGGTCCTCTTCCCCTCCCATTCCAGCCTAGCTTTTGGGGCGGCCAGGGCCCCGGGTTGTGTTGCTTTCGTACTCTGGTGGGGCGGGGAGGACGAGAAGTGCAGGCAGATGTGGGGGTGGGGCTGGGAAATCCCTTCCAGGTTCCTATCTCCTTTTGCCACTGCCAGCCCCGGGCCCTGCCCTGCGCCCAGAGTTCAGGGGAGATGCCTGGCAGAGTAATCCAACTGTACTTCAAATCTCGGGGCCTCAGTTTCCCTTTCTGTGAAATGGCGCAGCTCCTACTCTGCTGGGGGTTCTTGCTCCCTGCATCACATGGGCCAGTGACCTGACACTTTGAGCTAAGGAGAAAGTGGGGTGGAGGGCTGCTCTTCCTTTCTTTCCCTTGGTTTGTCAGAAGGGTCAGTGGGAAAGGGGCTTCCTTCAGCCCGTGCCTTCCCCCTACACTGATGTGTGGTAGCATGATGACCCCCGCCCCCTTGCTCTTTGCGAACCCCTCCTGGGTTTGTGGGTTCTGGTCTCAGTTTTACCCCAAAGCCCCTCACTGCTTTTGGAGATTAAGAGTTATTATCCTCATTTTACAGGTGAGAAAATTGAGGTGCAGAGAGGGGTGGTGACTTGCCCAGGGTTACAGAGAGGGCTGAGGTGCTTTGTCCTGGAATCTCTTTGTCAGTTGGATTTGACTTTAGTCTTCAGGGGCAGGGATTTTCTGAGGGGTCGCTGTGGTCCGGAGCTGGTGCCAGGTGCCCTGGGCCACCATGAGACCCTTGTCCAGGAGGAAGCTCTGGGGTGACTGGACTTAGAGTGACCGAGGTGCTGGATCCATCTTCCAGAGCAAGCAGGGGTTCCCTCAGACTTGGTGGCTGAGAACTTGCCAGGGACCTGAGTGGGGACCCGGCAGGGTGGGAGGGCTCCCAGATGACTCCTCTTGTGCTGGGGTGGCTATGAGCCCATGAGGCGAGAAAAGAATGGGGGGTGGGACAGGCACTGAGCTAAAGTGTCACTTCCTCAGCCAGTGAGGTGGAGTGTGAATGGGAACCTGAAACAGATGGGGAGGCTTGAGTTCGCTGGCTGGCCTTGGGTTGGCAGAAGGCGAGAACTCTCGGCTGAGGAGGATGAGGCCCCACTTTGAGTGGGCAGCAGTTGTGGGAGGGAAGTGCTCTTGAGGAAGGTGATCCCTAGGAAGTAGGCCCTGGATCCTAAGTTATGGGGTGGGTCGGGGAGCACGGACTTTGGACTCTGGCAGTCTTGGGTTGAAATCCTGGCCCTGCTCACAAGTTGCCTGTAGGATGGATGTCTACTCTATGTCATTTAAACAAATACTGAGCCCCTGTTGTGTGTGAGGTCTCCTTACAGGTTCTAGGGACACAGTAGTGACCAGAAGGGACAGGTGTCTCTGTCCTCAGGAGGTTGATGTTCCAGTGGGGGAGACAGTGAAAAGCCAAAACAAGTAAGATACGCAATAGTTTGACCAGTGGCCAGTGCTGTGGATAAAAATAAAGCAGGGTGAGGTGTGGAGAGTGTGGACAGGGTGGCTACTCTAGGGAAGGCGGCCTAGGGATGCCTCTAAGGAGTTGACTCTTGAGCTAAGGCTTGAGTGATGGGAAGGAGCCCGCCATGAGGAGCGCTGGTGGAATGCAGTCTAGGCAGAGGAAGCAGCAGGTGCCAAGTCCTTGTGGCAGAAGCCTGCCTAGTGAATTGGAAAGCACAGAGGCCATGGAGACTGGAATCCAAACAGTGACAGGACAGTGGGAGGAGATGAGGGCCAGAGGTGACGGGCCAGATGGTGAGGACACTGCCTTTGAGTCTGAGTGTGGTAGGCGACCTGGGTGGGTCTTAGCAGGAAGAGGACCAGATCGGACTTAGGTTTTCATAGGCTCCCTCTGGCTTCTGTTTGGAGAGCAGATTGGGGTGGCGGGAGGGGCAGGGTAACAGCAGGGAGGCCAGTGAGGTGACCACGGCTCTAGTCCAGGCAAGTGCTGGTAGAGTTTGGCGTGAGTGTTGCTGTGGGATGTGAGAAGCTGAGCTGAGGGGGTCAGGATGGGTTGAAGGTGCAATGTGAGGGAACCAGACACTGGACCGTGGCCCTACCCTGCCTGTCTCCCTCTTTGTGAGACCTGCAGGGCCCAGTGGGCCATATAGTCAGCATTGTCATGTGTCCTGTGTGCTGGACACTAGGGCTGATGCAGGCACTGGCCACAGTCAGGCCCAACACGGACTGGCAGTGCTGGTGGGAAAGGGAAGCCACACTCCCCGTAAGTGGGCAACTCTGTCCTCAGGTGGGCTCACTGCCCCTGTTGTCCAGATGGGAAAACTGAGACTTAGAGTGTGCTATGACTCACCCAAGGCCAAACAGCCAGGCCATGGCCACGCCAGCTGCCCAGAGGGCTCCATCTTGGTGTGGACGGGCCGAGGCAGTGTGCCTTAGGAAGTCTGTGTCTCCTTTGGGCAGTGTGTCCCTCAAGTGGTGTCAGGACGAGATTGGAGGCCACTGTGAGGGCATCCCCAGGGAGGGCCTTGGAGCTGGCAGGAGCTTCTCAGGCAGGCAGACGAGGAGGGCACAGGTGAGGGAACTGTGTGCAAGCATGGTGATGGGAAGTGGCTGGACCACTTGAGACTGGCTTTTGCCAGGCATAGGGGTGGGTGGTGTCTTCAGAGCTGTTCTGCCAACACCCCCGGTGTGCAGCCCCCTTCACACCATCCTACTGTTGATTAAGGGTGGGAATCGTGTTGCCCAATTTCTGGGTGAGAGAACCAAAGTCTGGGAGTGGGTGACACCTTCAGAGGTCGGACTGGAAGCCACCTCTCTCTGGGCCTCAGTCTCCCTGTCTCTGGGTCTGGGGAGGGGGGGTACAGAGGATGGTAGCCCTGGAGGGGCATCAAGAGCCTTTGCCCAGGGAAAAAATAAAAATTAAAAAAAAAAGAGCCTTTGCCTAGCTGGCCCTGGGTGTTAACCCTTGACCTGTGGCTTCTATGTGGGGCCTGTGTTTGGGGTGCTCTAGGTGGGACCCTGGGCAGCTGACTCCTCTCTGAGACTCAGTCTGTGTCTCCAAGGATGGGTTGATAAGTCCTAGCCCGCGGGAGGCGGACCTCCTCTTTGGCACTGGCTCATCTGGACCGTATGTCGCCAGCACCTTTGCATAGTGGAGTCAGTGACACCGGTATTGAGGGACGTGGGGAGTACCGGCGTGGGGCCGTGGGGTTCAGGCCCGCACACTGACTGGAGGTGAAGGACCCGTTCACAGCAAAGACTCCAAGCACAGAGAGCTGGTGTCCCTGACTCCGGCCGCCCTGTGACGCAGGGGATGGTGGGAGCCTGATTGCCTTGGGCAGGCCTCAGGGACAGCCGGGGCAGCTGTCCCTGAGTGTGCCCCCTGCCATCCCAACAACCTCCCACCCGCAGACCGTGGAGCATGGGTTCCCCAACCAGCCCAGCGCCCTGGCCTTCGACCCCGAGCTGCGCATCATGGCCATTGGCACCAGGTCTGGGGCTGTCAGGATGTATCCTTTGTGGCCAAGGCCTCTGGGGCCTGCTGGCAGTTCCTGGGTCCTGGTCCTTGCCTCAGGCTGGCCCCCTAGGGAGTGAGGATGGAGGGGCTCTGATGAGGGCTGGGATGTTGCGCCACAACGTGAGGGTTGGCATGGCCTCTGAGCCTGTGAGGGTCCTCATGGAGATGGGGTTCTTTTACTCTGAGCCAGGGTGGTGTCCCTATCCTGTGTCTCAGTGAGGCAGTTACCTAGGTGGCCCCGCCATCAACACGGCAACTGACTCGGGGCCGGGGGCTAGAAGGTGGTAGCCACAACGGGGCAGGGACCTGGGGGTCACACGGGTACCTTTCCATGGTGATGGGACACACGTGTGTGAGCGTGCAGATGTGTTCGCCACGGGCTGGGGGCAGTGCCAGGCTGGGCATGGAGAGCACAGCACAGCCCCACCTGGGCCCTGGCGGCCACACAATCAGGCCGTGTGAGCTGCACAAAGCACGCATTTTCCCTGCAAGTGGGGGGGTGGGGTGGGCAGCTGAACGCATTCTTGCTTGTCGCTGAGAATCCCACGGACTGCTTAATGTACGGCCCCTTAGGCGGGCCTGGCTGGTGGCTAAGGCTGCTTAGCGAGGGGTGCCTACCCCCCCCTTCTGTTTGACAGAAAAGCAAGTTGGTGCCTGGAAAGGGGTGTCTGGTCTGGGGTGGGTGTCTGACCTGTGCCTTAAAGCCTCTTGCCTGCTCTAGGGGGTGTGGCAGGTGGGCTGGCCCTCCTCTCCAATGGCCCCTGAGGCACCTGGTGAGCAGGAGGGAGTCCCTGCAACCCCTTGCTCCATGGCAGCCTGCGGTGCCCCGTGAGGCTCCCGGTGCCCCCTGAGGCTCCCATGCCCAAGCCCCATGCCTGAGGGCCCTCAGACCTGCCCTCCCAAGTTACGGGCTTTCTGTAGGTCAGCTGTGTGTTCTCACAAAGAACCTGTCATGCCTCGAGGAGACGGCTGGCGCCCTCTCCTTCCCCTCCCTCCTTTCCTGCAGCCCCCAGCCTGGGCCTCTAGGGTGGGGGAAACTGAGGCTGGAGAGGGCCAGCCCTGGTCACCAGAGCTGCCCCTACCCCCGCAAGACTGGCTGTATCTCCTTGACAACCCTGGTCTCCGCCCAGCTGCTCTTGCCCTGTCTTTTTGTCCCCTTCTCTGTGTTCCCTGCCAGGCCTCTGCAGGGAATCCCAGCTCAAGCTCTGGGCAACGGCTCCTTTGTTGTTGCTGGGGCAACGTCAGGCCTCACTGACCAACCCCCCTCGGCCCACCCTCGTGGGGCCCCTCAGGCCTGCTGGTCCACCAGGCCCACCATTGCACCTGGTGTAGCCGGGACTCAGGCACTGACACTGGGCTCCTCGAGCAGGTCACCTAACCTTTCCAAGCCTCTGTGTGCTCATCTGTAAAATGGGCAGGCAAGAGTCCCTGATCCCTCCTCCCTCCTGGTGAAGGCCTTTGGCTACCTGCCCTGGAGGGGGGTTGGTTTCCTTGCCCACAGCTGGAGTTTGGCCTGAAGCTATGGGAAGAGGTGGCCTGGACTCTTCCAGCCACATGCCCCCCATCCTCATGTCTCCCTGGCCAGGGCTTGTGGCTCTCCAGCCTCTCTTGGCCCTGTCTTGACGAGATGCTTCTGGCTAGACCTGTCAGGCATGGCTCTTGGGTACACGTGCACACACATATATGCACACACATACATGCACACAGACACACACAAACGTGAGGCTGAGATAGAGCAGGGCCCCAGCCACGTATCAGGCCTGGGCCAAGTGTTTCAGGCGTGTTTTTATTCTCACTTGCTCTTCACAACAGCCCTGAGGAGTGGGAGTCGCTGGCCCGTTTTACAGATGAGGAAATGAAGGTCAACACAGCAGTGCTGGCTTGCAGGAGCTGGTGGAGCCTGCACCCCTGTACCCTGGGCTAGGGGGTGCCTGAGGGTAGACCTTTGAGGATTTCTGGCTAGGCAGGCCTAGGGCGGGGTCCGCCAGAATAGTCCTGGGGAAGAAAGAAGCTTGGGAGTGTCTCCATGCCTTGGTTTCCCCGCCAGTGCCTGCTCGTTTCTGCCCTTGACCAGTCACCATCAGCTATGGTGCTCCCGGTGTGGAGTTCACAGGTCTGCACCACGATGCAGCCACCGTTGCCCAGATGTACTTCCTGCCCGGCCAGGTGAGCCTCCATCCCCCTAGGCCCCTCCTTGAGGCCCCTGTGCCCTCCCTCCCAGGCTAGCCCTGATCTTGCTCTCTGCTTGCTGCCAGGGCCGCCTCCTGACCCTGCTGGACGACAACAGCCTGCACCTCTGGGAGATCGTCCCTCACAATGGCTGTGCCCACCTGGAGGAAATGCTCAGCTTCCAGCTGCCTAGCCGCCCTGTTTTTGATGGCGCCAGGTACTGAGGGCCCGGCTAGGCACTAAGCTGCCAGAACTGGGGGGCTTGGCCGCGAGCTTCCTACACAGGGTGTGGCATGCTTAAAGTTGGCAGGAGGGCTGGGTTCAGGTTTGGGCTACATTGAGCCAGGCCTGGGTAGTCCCAGGCTGAGCATCTGGACCTGGTGTGACTGACCTGTTTTCCTGATGTGTTTTGTGGACTTTTAGAGGTGTTAGTGGGAGATCTCAGCTTAGTCCTAGGTGAGCAGGTAGGTGTCTGCAGCAGGACTTGTCAGAGCCTTTGATAGGCTGTGAGCAGCGGGAGCACAGCACCAGGGTGCCCCAAAGTCAGCTGATCGTGGCTGCCTGATGCTGTGGTCCCTGGGATGGTGGGGTGTCTGGGGACTTGTGTGCAGGCTAGGGTAGGGCTCTGTGGACCTGACATCAGTGAGGGCCCTCTAGCCCCTTGAGTTGGGGTGGAGGAATAGGCCTTTATGTGTAGGTTTGGGGCACGAGAGTCCTGCTGACATGTTAAGTGGTACTGGCAGGATGCCCTGGGGGCAGTGGAATGGGGGTTGGGCCCCTGGGGAGAGTGTAAGTGGCTGGAACATGGCGGTGCCTCTCCCTTACTGACTCCTGCTGGCCTCCACACCACCCAGCTGGGCTCCTAGGAGAGGCTTGTCCTGCTCTTGCCCACAGGCCATGCTGGGGCCTCCCTGTGAAGTCAGGGATATCTAGAGGGCTGGTGGCGGAGATTCTGCGCTGTCCTGGAGCTCCTGTCCTGGATTAGCAGGCCAGCTCCTTCCTGCCCCTCCTGGTGGGTAGAAGAAGCTGAGGAGCGGCCTGTCTCTCAGACTTGGGCAGCCCATTTTTATTCCTCTTCCTGTGTCCTACGGAATAATTGAGTGGGCTAATTACGACGCATGGAGCTGACACCATCACCTCCCTGCACGCCGGCCTACTCCGTATTTAGCTGCCAGCGTGCAGAGGGGCCAGCAGTCAGCTCACAGTTGCAGCCCAGCCCCTCGGTACATTCCTAGCAGGTGGGGCTTGCACCCTCAACCCTCCCCTCCACACAGCACCCCGCCCAGCCTCTCCCGGGTCACTGTGGTCCTGCTGGTGGCTGATGGCAACAGGGCAGCACTGGGCACCGAGGGCGGCAGCGTCTTCTTCTTGAACATGGACACATTGACACTGCTCGAGGGGCAGACCCTTGCCCCTGATGAGGTTCTGCGAAGGTGAGAGGTGGTAGCGCCTGACCCTGGTGGCCCCATGGTCGGGAAGCTGTCGTTCGGCCTCACTGAGTTCCTGCTTGCAGCCTGCCCGATGACTACCGATGTGGGAAGGCGCTGGGCCCTGTGGAGTCTCTCCAGGGGCACCTGCAGGACCCCAGCAAGATCCTCATAGGCTATAGCCGGGGCCTGCTGGTCATCTGGAGCCAGACTGCACACTGTGTGGAGCGCGTCTTCCTGGGCAACCAGGTAGGTGGTGGGCTGCACCTGCTCTGCCCTGTGCTCCTGCTGCCTGGGCCCTGCTTAGCCCCAACCCCCACTTGCCCACCCCACAGCAGTTGGAGAGCCTGTGCTGGGAGCGAAGCGGTAGCACCGTTGTCAGCTCCCACAGCGATGGCAGCTACGCCATCTGGCCTGCAGACTCGGGCAGCTCCCTGGTGCTGCAGCCCACGGCAGCCACCATGCCCTATGGTGAGTGCCCTGGGCCTCCTGGAATGGGAGCAGAGGGTGACAGGGGGCTGATACAGCACCCCAAGTCAGGCATTTGGGCTTCCTGGCCTCAGTGGGGGGACACCCAGGAGGACTTCTGGAACGTGCAGTGCCAACTCGCCAGCGGTGAGACCCTGCCAGGGCACATGGTTGGGGTAATGGGCTTCCCCTGGGGGCATGTCTGTGAGGTTGGTGGCGATCAATGTGTTCAGTGCAGCTGGGGCAGACCAGGCTGGGAGCAGCAATGAGAGGTGGGCTCAGGTTGGCCTGATGCTCTGTCCTGCCCCCAGGCCCCTTCCCCTGCAAAGCCATCAACAAGATTCTATGGCGAAGCTGTGAATCAGGGTAGGTTGAGAGAGTGGGTCTGGGTGGGCCCTTGGGGTTGGGCAGCATGTGCCCAGGCAGCTCGGGGCTCATGGGCCCCCTGCCCTGTGCAGGGGTCATTTTATCATCTTCAGTGGTGGCATGCCCCGCGCCAGCTATGGGGACCGCCACTGTGTGAGTGTGCTTCAGGCCGAGACCCTAGTGACCCTGGACTTTACCTCCCGTGTCATTGACTTCTTCACAGTGCACAGCACGCGGCCGGAGGACGGTATGTGACCCTCTCCCCTCCCCGCCATGTGCTCTTTACTGCCTGCGGCCGGCTCACCCCACCTCCTGCCCCACAGAATTCGACGACCCCCAGGCCCTGGCTGTGCTGCTAGAAGAGGAGCTGGTGGTACTGGACCTGCAAACACCTGGCTGGCCGGCTGTGCCTGCCCCATACCTCGCCCCCCTGCACTCATCTGCCATCACATGCTCGGCCCATGTTGCCAATGTCCCTGCCAAGCTGTGGGCCCGCCTCGTGAGCTCGGGCGAGCAGCAGAGCCCGCAGCCCACCTCCAGCACCTCAGTGTGTGCCCCGGGCACCCTGTGGGGCAGGATCTGGTGGGAGGGAGGGTGGCACTGGGTGGCGGGTATATGTGGGAAGAAAACGTTTGTCTTTGCCTTGTGCTCATGTCTGTGTCTCCCTCCCCTAGAGCTGGCCCATTACTGGGGGCCAGAACCTGGCTCAGGAGCCGTCACAGCGGGGGCTGCTGCTGACCGGGTAGGACAGACAGTGTGCCTGTGGTTGGATACAAATATGACGTGTGTGTGTGTGCGTGTGAGTGAGATCTACTCCCACCAGGCCTGGTGCAGCCTGCACTGCTGACATGTGGGTAACTCAGCCTAGCCCTGTGGGACTGAGCCAGCACCCCCGCCCCACCAGCCCCCTGGGGTGGATTGGGATAAAGCCTCCATAGGCCCTAGTTCAAGGCCCGCCTCACCCTGCCTTTTGGCCTGGAACTGAGCTCTGGCAAACCCCAGGGCTTCACCTACCTTGCCTGCCTGGGATTGGAAAATCTGGGCTGGCCCACATGGAGCTTTCCAGGGCAGGTATGGGAGGGCCTGGCGGGCACTGACCTGCCTGGTGACTCAGGCCCCGATTTCCTGCTCTGCCCCTGGCATCTGCCTGTGCCGGGACTCTCCGACCTCTGGGCTGCAGTGTTCCCTGCCCCGCATAGGAACATGCTGTGGCTCTCATGGCTGCAGGAGTGTGGTGTCCCTGCCGACCCCAGAGATTCAGCCCCTTCTCCTGCCTTGACCTCAGCCCCCACCACTGTCCAAGAATCCCCCCTTGGGCTCTGCAGCTGTCCTGAGGTTGTGCCTTAGATTTGTCTAGTCCTCCACCCGCCACCCCTCCCCTACCATCTGCTGCTTTGCTCACAGTTCCACCTTCTACCTTGGCAGCACTTCCTCTGGGACATCTGCACTCTGTGACTAGCTAATCACCCACCCCAGTAAGGGCAGCCCCATGGAGCTCTGTTCCCCCAGGCCCCCCCTGCCATCTCAGGGCCAGTGAGTACTTGCTTTTCCCCACCTTCCCACCTGCTGGCAGGACCCAGGTTGAAGGCCTGGCATACAGTAGGTGCTCAGTGTCTGTGTGCAGTAGGACAGGTCAGTCCACATGTGTGTGCAAGTGTTTGGGGAGGGCTTATGGGATGAGTAAATGGAGATGAGCTGGCCTTGTGCGACCCCAATGCCCCCCTACCCCGACAGCCACGAGGACGGCACTGTGCGCTTCTGGGACGCCTCGGGCGTGGCGCTGCGGCCCCTCTACAAGTTGAGCACGGCTGCCCTGTTCCAGACGGACTGCGAGCATGCTGACAGCCTGGCCCAGGCTGCCGAGGACGATTGGCCGCCCTTTCGCAAGGTTCGCTCCCACCCCACCGCCCTGCAGAGCCATCCTGGCCTGCCGTCGTTCTCACTCCCTCCTCCCCCAGGTGGGCTGCTTTGACCCCTACAGCGATGACCCCCGGCTTGGTGTGCAGAAGGTGGCACTCTGCAAGTACACAGCCCGGATGGTGGTGGCTGGCACTGCAGGCCAGGTGGGGCTGAGGGGCGTCCCCAGGGTTGGGGGTCTCAGAAGGTTTTCTGGAGGAGATGGCCTGGATTAAGTGGGTCTGATGGAGTGGTAGAGGGGGTGAAGACAGAAGGTGGGACGGGTAGCTGGGGCCTTGAGGGCCAGGCCCTGGCTGTGGGAACTGTGGCAGGCTGGGCTAGGGGCGGGAATGCAGGTGGTAGATGATCCTTACTCCTGTGGCCACATCAAGTTTAGCATCAGTTCACAAGCCTGGGCAGTGGGTCCTGGTCACGGCTGCCCTGGCACTCAGCAGTGTGCACAAATGTTCAGTGTGTACTTATTGCTGAATGGGAGATAGTGGACCAGGGGAGAGCAGGGTCCAGCAGGTCTGGGTCACCGCCATGTTCTTCAGTGCTCACCATGGGCCCTGGTATACAGTAGACATTCAATAAGTGCTCATTCAGCAGGTGAACTAAAGGCAATCCTGGGGCCGACATGGCGGTGGTTGGGGCTCTGGTGGGGCCTGTGGGTGGCCTCTCCTCTGCCCTGACCTATCTCCCTGCCTGCCATGGCCCAGGTGCTGGTGCTGGAACTGAGTGATGTCCCGGCCGAGCAGGCAGTCAGCGTGGCAAGCATGGATCTCCTCCAGGACCGTGAGGGCTTCACGTGGAAAGGCCATGACCAGCTGAGCCCCAGCACAGGGCCGCTGCCCTGGCCCGTTGGCTTCCAGCCCCAAGTGCTGGTGCAGTGCCTGCCACCTGCTGCCATCACTGCTGTCACGCTCCACACCGAGTGGGGCCTCGTGGCCTTTGGCACCAGTCATGGCTTTGGTCTCTTTGACTACCAGCGCAAGAGCCCTGTGCTGGCCAGGTGCAGTGACGCGGCTCCTGGGGCGGGGGTGGCTGGATCCAAGAGGGGAGTAGGGTCTGAGCCTCCAACCTGCCCTAGGCTCCCACGGGGCCTCAGGTAACCCCCATGCCTGTCTGGGCCTCGGTCTCTCACCGAAAACCCGTGTTATCTTATGAAGAATACCAAGAAGCGTTTTAAAGGTAGTGCTAATTGTGGAGTGTTTGGTACCATCTGCTTCCAAGTGAGCAAGGAGGTGTTGGAGGGGTTTGCTTCTGTAGCTGGCCAGCAGCTACAGTGGCAGCTCCTGACCGCCTCCTGCCTGCCCCCAGGTGCACCCTTCACCCCAACGACTCTCTGGCCATGGAGGGGCCGCTCTCACGGGTGAAGTCACTCAAGAAGTCGCTGCGTCAGTCTTTTCGGCGCATTCGCAAGAGCCGGGTATCTGGCAAAAAGCGGGCTTTAAACACCAGCAGCAAGGTGAGTGGCCCAGGCAGGTGGAAGCTGTCCTGTGGGGCTGCTCAGATGGTGCATCTCCAGCGAGGTGCTGCTGCCTCCTGGCTGTGCCCTGGGTTGGAACGAGGTCTTTGCTCACTTGATATGGTTTGTCCCCCAGTAACCTGGGCCCTTGGCCGTGAGAAGGCTGCTCAGGAGGGCAGTGAAATTGATCGTGGTGGGTGCTGGGCACCGGTGTGGTAGACCAGGTGGGTGGCAGGAAGGTGGTGCTCAGGTCTTGGTTCCTCACTCCCCCTCCTCTAGTTGCAGGAGGCCAACGCGCAGCTGGCGGAGCAGGCCTGCCCCCACAACGTGGAGGTGACACCTGTGCAGCGCCGCATCGAGCCCCGCTCGGCTGACGACTCCCTCTCGGGTGTGGTGCGCTGCCTCTACTTTGCTGACACATTCCTTCGCGATGGTGAGGCCAGGGAAAGGGGAGTTTGGGGCAAAGTTGGCCCCAGGAGGTTAGAAAGAATCCTGAACCCAGGGGGCGAGGCAGAGTTTCTGATGGTGAGGGGTTGGTGAGTGACCCGGGAGGGCGTCCCCAAGACCTGCAAGCAGGGCCGTGGCCAGTGCAAAGGCCCTGAGGTGGGCGTGATATGGGAAGTAGCCCAGTGGGTTAGAGAGGTGGCGGTCCTGCCTGCCAGGATGAGGACACTGACTCTGAGCAGCTTGGGAGCTATGGGAGGGTCCTGGCAGAGAAGCACCGTGGGTGGGTTTATTGGTTGATTGATTGATTGATTGTAACTTGTTATGATGGAGAGTTTCAAACATGCACAAAAATAGAGGGGTATAGTCACCACCACTGGTGCCAGCAGCTTTCTGCTGTGGCTGCATCTGCCCGTTCCTTATTTTTTGTTGTATTCTGCTGTAGTGTTTTCGGTTGAAGCCCACATGCCGTGTCACCTCTGTGGGCACCTGTGTGTCTCCAGCAGAGGTGTGGCTGGCCCCTCGTGCCGGGGCCGCCCTGTATAACTGATGATCCACTCCTTGGGCTGTGAGCACAGCCTTCCATTCTTCTCAAAAACGTCTTGTTCTGACTGGCACTTGGCTTGGCATCCTGTTTAGGTCCACATGGTGCGTGGTATGTCTTGCTCTCTTCAAGTCTGAGAGGGAGCCCCCTTTTCTGTGTAATTCGTTTGAAGTTTGTCAGGTAGTTCCCAACGTCTGGGTGTGGCTGCCGCAGCCCTGGCTGGCCTCTACCTGCGCATAGCCCCTGACCAAGCCAATTAGACTCAGACTCGCAGAGGGCTGGCCTCGCTGCTGGCGCTGGAGTCTCTGTGGTGCTTGGGATTGCTCAGGCACTTTGCCCTCGGGATTTGGGTCCTGCTGATGGCAGTTGTTACATCCATCTATGCACCCAGGGCCCGTCTTCCCCCGCCTTTATGGGCTCTGCCTCTCCCCCAGGAACTGTCCTCCTCAGTGGGGACTCCCAGAGGCTTAGCCACATAGCGGGGGCAGGACAGTGCCCATGCTCGAACTCCAGGGTGCTGGAGGGGCATGTAGCGGGGTGCTAGGGGAGCATGTGGTGGGGTGCTGGAGGAACACATGGTGGGGTGCTGGGGGAGCATGCGGTGGACCTAGGGGTAAGCTCTTTGTATTGTTCTTGGTGATAACTGAAGCATCCTGTTGTGGCTCCTCAGTGGACTCCAGGGCCGGTTTCAGCCACGCAGTCACAGATGTGTTCCTGGCAGCTGGTGGCTCAGGCTTCCTCCTTCTTCTTTGCCTCAGCCTGAGGGCTTCCTTGTTTAAATAGCCAGCTTCCTCTGGGTGCTGCGTGGGGAGCAGACTGCAGAGGGGGTTAGGCTGCAGCAGTGGCTGGGCTGGGGCAGAGATGCCACAGGCAGGCCAGGTAGATCTGTGCAGGAGAAGGGCTCGGATTCTGTCTCCACTGAGGTAGCACCTTAGGACTAAATGATGGGGCATGGGTGAGAGGGGTCAAGGGATATCTGGGTCTGGGGCCTGAGCAGCTCCGTGTTACTGTGTTGGGGCAGCTAAGGTTGCGGTGGGGTAGAGGTGGGAGAGCCTCATCCATTTGGGATGGGTGGAATTTAAGGTACGTCCCTGGTGGTGCAGTGGTTAAGAGCTATGGCTGCTAACCAAAAAGTTGGCAGTTTGAATCCACTGGTCGCTTCTTGGAAACTCTATGGGGCAGTTCTGCTCTGTCATGTAGAATTGCTATGAGTCAGAACTGACTCGACAGCAATGAGTCTGGTTTTTTGTTGGGTGTCTCTGGGAAGTGTGCTGGTGGTCCTTGCATAAGGGCTGGGTCAGAGGCTTGGACTGGGCGTCAGTGTGGAGATAGATGGTATCTGAGCCCTGAGGGTCAAGGCCCCCCCGGGGATGGAGACAGGAGCAGTGCTGTCCTGAGTCTGGGCCTCAAGTTAGGAAGAGGTCATGGGGAGGGGCCACCCGAGAGGAGTAGGGGGCCCTGAGTGCACAGAGAGGTAGGCCCCTGGAGCCCCTCATGAGCCCTGCCCCCACAGCTGTCCACCACGGCCCCACCCTGTGGGCCGGCACCAACTCAGGCTCCGTGTTTGCCTACGCGATGGAGGTGCCGGCAGCGGCGACAGGCAGTGAGAACCGGCCAGAGCGGGCGGTAGAGGCTGTGCTCGGTAAGGAGGTGCAGCTGATGCACCGAGCACCTGTGGTGGCCATCACCGTGCTGGACGGACGTGGCCGCCCGCTACCTGAGCCCTATGAGGCCTCCCGGGACCTGGCACAGGCACCTGACATGCAGGGTGGCCATGCTGTGCTCATAGCGTCTGAGGAACAGTTCAAGGTGGGCTGCCAAGACCCCTGCCTCACAGACCCACTGGGCCCCTCAGGAGCCCTCCTTGCCTATATGCCACCTCCCCACTGAGATCCTTCTGTTCCACCACAATCCTTCCTCATTGACCAGAGACCCCTTCCCCCTTGGAGAATTCCCCCAAGATCCTCCTACCTCACTGAGTCCCCCTTGAGGCTTCTGGACCTACCAGGACCCTCTGAGACCACCCCCTTGGGTCTGTGTCTTGCAGGGACTCATGGTTGGGTGGGAGTACGGGTATGTGACTGTTATACCCTATGTGGTTGATTTTTGCTGTAGGAAGAGAGTCCTCGAAGTTTCCAGGAAGCAGTGTTTAGCCTGTTAGGTCTGAGGGATGAGAAGTGGGGGTGGAAGGGTGCAGTGGGCATTGTGAAGTGCAGTAGGCAGAGGGGGTGGCATGCGGTGGAGGGGATAGTGCAGCTGTAAATTAGAAGGTATGAACAGGTGCATTGGTTGGGGCGGAGGCCTGAGTGGCAGGCTGCCTTTGGGGTGGGGGTTGGCGGCAATAGCCGTTGAAGGTGGCTTCTGGCCAGAGGTGGGGCTATGGGTCTTAGGGAGCGTGGAGAGGCCAGGCTGTGTGCTCATTGGCTGCCTGCCGCCAGGTGTTCACACTGCCCAAGGTGAGCGCCAAGACCAAGTTCAAGCTGACAGCCCATGAGGGCTGCCGCGTGCGTAAGGTGGCACTGGCCACGTTTGCCAGCGTGGCCTGCGAGGACTACGCTGAGACCTGCCTGGCCTGCCTCACCAACTTGGGTGATGTCCACGTCTTCTCGGTGCCTGGCCTGCGGCCCCAGGTGCACTACTCCTGCATCCGGAAGGAGGACATCAGTGGCATTGCCTCCTGTGTCTTCACGCGCCATGGCCAGGGTAGGGGAGCAGGCTGGGTGGTTTGCAGGAGGTGTTCAGGTGGGCCCAGCCGGCATATGCGGGGGGCGGGGGCAGCCAGGGTTTGGTCGCTGTCTGCCTCCTAACTGCGCTCCTCAGTCCTTCTCTCCTGCCACACCCAGGTTTCTACCTGATTTCCCCATCAGAGTTTGAACGCTTTTCCCTCAGTGCCCGGAACATCACAGAACCACTGTGCTCTCTGGACATTCGCTGGCCCCGTGACACTACCTGTGACAGGTGCATGGGGGGTGGGGAAGAGGAGGCATGTGGCCATGCCAGGTCTCATACCCACTTTCGCTTTCCGCATGGAGGGGTGGGTCTCCCTGGCATAACCCTATCCTGTCCCAGGGCTTGGCAGTGGGAGGGCAGGGGTCCAGCCCAGAGCACTTGCCTGTGGCCCCCCATCACAGGCCCCGTCTCTGCAGCTACAGGCTCCAAGAGTCGCCCAAGCTGAGCCAGGCCAATGGGACCCCAGGCATCATCCTGGCCCCACGGAGCTGTGATGGGAGCCCCAGTCCTGCCCGAAGCAAGGGAGCTGGGGGTATGAAGGAGGAGGGGGTGTGCTGTGGGCAGGGTGCCCTGCCACATGTGCTGTGTTCCCACCATGGCCCACAGCAGGCTGGGTCTGGGGTGTTTGTGGGTCTTCCAGGTGTAGGGTGCTTTGGGGTCATGGCAGGGCTTGATCCTCCCATCACCCCCACATGCAGACACTATGGAGCCGTCCGAGGCCACGCTCTCGCCCATCTCCATGGATTCAGCCACCAGTGCCGACACCACGCTGGACACTACAGGGGACGTTACAATGGAGAATGTGAAAGATTTCTTGGGGTGAGGTGGGCAGGCAGGTCTGCCCAGGGCCTGTGGGGTCGGGGGAGGCGCTTGGACTCTAGGCTCCCCTTACCCCCACTGATGTCCCGCTACACATGGAAGACCAGGAGGGGCCAGACCCCAGGATCTGATCACCACCTGTCCCTCCCCAAGCTCTTCAGAGGAACCCCAGAAGAATCTGAGGAATGTGGCACAAGATGAGGCCCACGCCTGCACCATTCTGATCAGATGAGGTGCTGTGGGTACGGGGCCCTGGAATCTGTCTCACTGCTCAACAGCCTCAGTATCTAGGCCCCACAGGCCCTCCCTGCCCTGCCATCCCAACTCTGGTCTTGCACTGAAACCCTGGCAGGGCCCTGTGATTGCTGGCTTGCCTGGCATCTGGCTGCCTTCTGTAGGGTTTCAGGGGGCAGCTGCAAAGGCCTGAGTGACTGTCGTAGTTAGGGCCGGCCCTGTAACCCAGATACCATGGATCATGTTTAGAACAAGGCCAGGTCACAACTATTTAAAGGAGGTACCAGCGTGGGGCATAGTGGCTGGGTTGGCCAGCCCACTGCACATGAAGTCACCAAGCTGTGTCAGGTCAGGCCCTGCTGGTGAGGCCAGCAGGCTGAGTCCATCTGAAAGCTGACAGGTCCCCACCGAGATCTGTGGCCAGTCTTGGGCCTGCAGGTCTGCCCAACCCCATTCCCTTGAGTCCCTAGCCACACCATGCAGCGGGGCAGGCACCTGTGCTCTTCCTCTGGGGCTGGGGCCTGGCCTTGGTGGGCCAAAGGTGGTCTAGCACTTAGGTATCGGCCTGGCACCCCCCAAGCCCACCTCATCGGGCTCTGTCACTGTCCTGACCCCCTGTAGGCTGAGTGGAGGCACCTGTGTGGCCTGGCCCTGCGTTTTGCTTATTGCCCTTTTCTCCCTCTCCTAGGAGCCAGAGCTCTCCTGACCACTGGTGCCCTGCTCAGAGCTGGGGCCCTGGACCCCTGGCTCCTGCCTGCCCCTTAACATAGACTAACTTGTGGGCTCCTGTGGGGTCCTGCCTTCCCTGGGCCTAAAGCAGCCCAGCCCTAGGTGTGGGCAGATGCAGGCAGGCCCCTCGGACTAGGTCACCCTGGAGGCCAGGTGCTCCACATGCCGTCCCCCTCCTCCCTTCACAAAGAGTATTTTTCTAATGTCTGAGCTGGGCATTCATTTCTAAAACTATTTTGGTACTTGATCCAGGCCAGCACCTCTGGCACGTTGCCCCCGCCCCGCACATGTGGACTGGCCAGTTGGGGGTGTGTGTGGGGTCAGAATGGGTTTCCCTGTAGATTGTACCTTGGACTTTTTTTTTCTGTCATTTTGTTAAAATTAGTGCTGTCTTAATATTAAAAATACTGATTTTTAATATTGAAAATAAAAGCATTTAATAGCTCTTCAAGGGCAACACTTGCTTTAGCCCTGGTAGGAGAAGGGCTTTACACACCTGCTAACAGTGGGAGGAGCTCCATTTCCCAGACCCCTGAGGGTACCTGTTAGGTCACCCTGTAGGTGCTGCTGGCGGCCGGGGCACTGGGTTGGCTGTGCAGGGACAGTCACCTGTGCATTTTCTGTTCTAGCAGGTGGTGGGCAGAGGGTCCCCTTCCTCTTCCTCACCCAAAGCTTGCAGTGGTCACAGGGCACTGTTGTGGGGGGTGGGGACTGCCCTAGGCCAGGGCCTTCCGGAAGGTGCTCCAGGCGTGAAAGCAGCGAGTGAAGGCGTGCTGCTCATTGCCCTTGCGGACCAGGCGCAGACGGCGAGGCTGCTCCTGCTCTTTGGAGCGCAGGTGCTGGATGTACACCTGGAGAGAAGGGGAGAGGTGTGGACCCTGAGATACAGGTCTTCTGGGCTGGCTGGCCCACCTTGGCCCACCCTCTACCCAGCTCACCTGACAGGCCTTCAGACTCAGCTTTATTTCCACCTGGCTTGTCTGAGTCCCCACCCACATGTAGACCTGCAGGGACAGCAGCAGGGGAGTGGTGGTCCTGAGGGTGACTGAGGAACACGTCCCCCCACTTCTGGCCTCCTTGAATGGGCAGGGTCTCACCTCTTGGCCGTTGTCTAGTAGCATGATGTCATCATCTGCCAGGTCGTCTTGGCAAAAGTCTGAGCATTTCTCAGTCACTGCAAAGAAGCCCTTCTCATTGGAGCACCTGGGGGCCAAAGGCGTCAGGGTGAGGCTGAGGGTCACAGCAGCAGAGCCAGGACTTGGGAGAGGCTGGGGAGGACGGGTGGGTAAAAGGTCAGCCCTGGCCTCACCGGAAAAGCCGAGTATACTTCATGTACTCCGCGTTGTCGTCATAAGGTTTCTGTGCCCCAAGGCCCACCCAGAAGAAGTTTTCGGGCTCCTCGCCTTCGTTGATGACCTGTAGGGAAAAAGTCAGTCCAGCCCCGAGCCCTGCCCACCCACCTGCCCACCCGCCGTGGGCACCTGCTTGCTGTAGGAGGTGTCAAACATGGTGTTGAGGATATCCTCAGCCAGCTTGGCCTCATCGGGGTCTGAGGCCCGGCCCACCCATGCGTACACGATGCCCTGGTTGTCCTCACTCTCAAAGGGAACCTGGTGAGCGTACAGGGGCTTGGGTCAGCTCCAGCACATAGGCAGGTACCCTGGCTGTAGCCCAGCACCTTGGCTGCAGCCCCAGCTCCCGCCCACGACCCCACCTTGAGGATGAAGCAGAACTCTGAGTTGAGGAGGCTGGAGTCCGTGCTGATCTGGATGCACCTGGCAAAGGAGTCAGCACGGAGTCAGGGGATCTTGCATCTCCCACCACCTCCAGGCCCGCTCGCTGACCTCACCTGTCCACTACCGACACCCCCCCCCCCCAGGCACCGGGTGCAGAGGGCGCTGCCGTTGGTGCGGATCTGGTAGAGGCTCGGTTGCAGGGCGCCCCGGGCCACCTTCCTCTTGCCCCGATGGATGATGAATTTTCTCTTGAAATGGGACAGGAATTTCGGGTTCTCCTGCTGCTGTGTCATGCGTACCACCTGGCGGGGAGGTGTCAGGGCAGCACCTTCACACCATCTCCCCACCTCCCCCGGGTCTGAGTCCGACAACCCCCACACAGTATGGGAAATGCACCAAGACTGAAGGCGCGGCAGGTAGGCAGGCACACCTCCAGCTTTCCGGGGAAGAGGCTCTCGAACTTCTTCTGCAAGCTGAAGGTGAAGGTGAGCCAGCCCATGTTGGAGGCCTCACGGCCCTGCCAAAAATAGACGATGCACTGAAAATCCTCCTCCGGCTGCTTCTCCACGGTGGCCTCTTCTTTGCTCTCTGCCCTGGCCTTCTCCTCCTCCTCCTCTTCCTTCTCCTCCTCATACTCCACGGGCACCCAGTACCTGTGGGGTCAGAGGGGTGAGCAGGGGCTCAAGCTCCATGAGCACCCGCTCTGGGGATGGTCCCCGGGCAGCACCTGCAGAGAAAGACATAGCAGTCCTGGGTGTGGAAGTGGCCGAACTCCTCCTCGGGAAGTCGCGCGAACTTCTTGCCCTCGAGCACGAAGCCTTCCATGCCATCCAGATCCTCGTTCCATTCCTCCATCAATTGCTCAGCCTACACAAGACCCGCACGTGGGGAGAGGCGCTCCCCTCCTCAGCGGCCCCACCCCTGCGCCCCACCAATGCCGCGGCAGGCCCCGCCTCCTACACAGGTCTCGCCCCATCTGCCCGGGCCCCACCCCTCTGTCCGACCCCACCTCGGTCAGCGCCATGGGTGGCTGCCGGGGCAGGAAGAGCGCAGTGAGGTTGGCCTTCATCTGGTCGGTCTTCTCAGCGTCACGTTTCACCTTGCCGGCCAGGCCCTGGCCTTGCAGGACGGCCTCCGCGTTGCGCGTATAGTCCACTGTCAGCACATCATCCCAATTCTTGAACTTGGCCTTGAACACCTGCAGTGGGGAGGAAACAGGAACTGGGGTCGCGTGCTCACTGCTAAGGAGGTGGGGCTGAGGTGAGAGGTGTGGGGTCCCGAGAGGTTGCATGACTAAGGCAGCTGAGGGGAAAGCCTTGGGTCTGAGCTAGGGGTGGGTCTTTAGGGTTGGGCGGGGCTGCAGGCTTGTGAGAGGTGGGGTCGCGGGGCAGGGTATTTGTGAGTGGCGGGCATCTGGGTGGGAAGTGGGCATGGCAGGTTGGGGAAATGGGCCGGTGCAGCAGCTGGCAGATGTGGGCGGGGCTGGGGTCCTAACCAGAAGAATCAGCCCAAAGGTATGTCAAGCGGGAAGGGCGTGGCTTGTGGGCCTGGCTTATATGGGTGGGTCTTGCGTACCTGCGCCTCAGTACCCTCCAGGCTGCGGCTGACAGCTGCGTGGCGCGGCCGGTGCAACATTCCGCATAGTTCCTGGCCCAGCTTGAGGGCAGCGGCCCGCACAAGGCGTGGGGACTTGCGGCCAAGCCAGATGAATACGTCGGACCAGCAGTCCAGGATGTACACGCAGCGTGTGTCCAGCAGGCTCTGAAGCTGACGGCGGAGGCTGGGGGTCAATGCCAGCCAGCCATCAGGGATGGATCCACAGCCTGCACCCTCCTGCCTGTGCTCTTACCAGCCGCATCCCGGGCATCAGCTCCACCCTTGGCCTGGTCTTGTGCTCTATGGAGAGTCTGTAGTTGATCTGCGGCAGTTCCAGGTAGCCCAGGCCCAGGCCCACCTGGTGGGAGGAAGAGGTAGGCATGGCACGGGGCAGTCTGATTCAGGGAACACGAGCCCATCCATACCGCCACCTGACCTAGAGTCTGACCCTGCCTAGCAGTGTGGTTCAGGTCACTAGCTACTCGTCTCTGGACCTCAGTCTCCTCCCCTACCCCAGGGTCGTTTATTAAAGGTGACCTAGCTTTCCAGGCCATTTCTAATCCTCTAACTTGTCCCTCTCCTGCTCACAAGACCTCATGGCCTCCTGTCACCCACAGAATTAAGGGCAGGTTCTGGCCCTGGAACCCGGGCACTTCTCCACCCTCTCTCCAGACCACCTTCCCCTAAACATGCACCCTCATGCTATTTCTCACTGCCCCACCCAGAGCCCGCCTCTAGGCCTTTGCTCTGACCCTGCTCACAAGGTGGCACCCTTGCCCCACCAAAGCCCAACTGGAGCCTTCACAGCCAGCTCAGAGATGCCTGCCGTCCCCCCAGCATGGGGGGAGTCAGGGCCAGCCCCCCACCTCAACTCGCCTTGTACAGTTTGGGTGAGGGCGGCCAGAAATCGTCGGGCACGTGCCTCTTGATCTCAGAGGGCTCCCCGCCCAGCATCTCCCAGAACTCTGGAGGCTCCTGACCTTGCACCAGCAGTGTGATCTCTGCCTTCCCTTTCCGCTCATTCTTGTTCATTTTCTCTGCAAAGAGTCTGGGGAGGGGGTGCAGAGCCCCCAGTGAGGCCTGTTCCCCTTTTCAGCTGGCCTGGGCTGGCAACGGAATGAGTTGAGGTTGGTCTGGCTCCTGGCATGTGGCAACTTTCCTATGGGCAAACACCCCAAATATCCACGTGGACAGTCTCGTACCTGGCCTTGGTGGTGCTGCCCAGTGTGGCCTGGGTCCCCCGCCACACATAAATATCTAGCCCTCGGTCCAGCAGGAAAACAAACCTGGATAGGAGGGGGCAGGAGGCAATGAGTATCCCCTGCCCAAGCCCCTTAGCCCACCAGCCCCACCAGAATGCCCCACCATGGGGTCTCAGCTCCTGCTAAACTCCATGGGACAGGAGATAACAGGGGTTGCCTGAGGACCTCTTACAGGAGGTCTCAACCTGTCCCCCACCGGCGGGAGGGAGGTTGAGGGTAAAACCCCCACCTCACACCACAGGGACTCACCTTGGGTCCAAGGAGGCCCCCTTGAGTGGCACGGGCTCCAACTTAATGTTCTTTTTCCCATACACACGGTACATCCTGGGGCCAGGGCACAAGCAGCTCAGCGTGGGCACAAAGGGACTGACCTCCCCAGCACCCCTCCTCACACCAGCTGAGTCCAGGCCAGAGTTACCCTACTCCCCACCCACCGCCAACACCCTCACCTGGTGACATAGTGCGTGTCCTCCACGGTGTAGAAGCCACTCGCTGTCCCACCCTCAATGTAGGAGATGTCGTTGTCAAACACCTGTGCATGGGGGAGGGTGTGGGTTCCTCATGACTGAGCTGTCCCCCACCCAACCAAATACCACCTGTCGGGACAGGGAGAGTGCGTACAGGTGAATCAGGTGCTAAGAGCTGTGTCCATACAGTTAAATATATATTTGAGTGTTTGAATAGACAAAAACATGAATGTGTGTGCATGCATGAAGATGTGTGCCTATTCACAGATGTTTAGATAAGTGTGTGTGTACAGGTTTGGCGGAGACTGCAAGCCTGGGGGAACCTAGGGGGTGTCTCGACACTAATGAGGGAGGTGGTATGAGGTGGAGTGGTCTGCTAATCCAACTCAGTACCTCACTGAAGACTGGGATCCATGTCTTACCCTTAGCCCTGCCTCCTTAATGCAGCAACTTGTGGCCCAGTCCTCAACCACTATTGGTCTTGGCTCCCTAGCACCCTCTTGGCCATGCCCATTGGCCTGGCTTCCCAGCCCCATTATCCTCAACCCACTGACTCCAGCTCTGGGTCCCAGGCCCCTCACCTTTGGCCTCACCCCTTTCCCCAACTCCCCTTTGCGTTCCTGCTCATCACCCCTGCCACTGTGTTTGGTCTCAGCTTCCTGGCCCACTCCACCCCCTGGTCCCACCCGACCCAAGGCCTGTCTGTGGGCGGGCACCTGCAGGAACTCCTCGCTCTCGTCACCCATCTCTTCCCGCACGGTGCGGCACTCAGCACCCAGGTAGTTGCGCAGGTTGACCGCGTGAATGGCCGAGCAAGCCTTCTTGTCCAGAGTGGCATCCCCACCGATCCAGTAGTAGATCTCCCAGTTCAGGGAGCCGCTGTCATCCAGAAAGGTCTAGGGGCCAACACTGCCATGTCAGCCTTCACCTGGGCCATCCTGGCATCCCAGCCCGCCTGTGAGGCTGCCGCAGATGGGACTCCACTGCCCCACCTGCCTCCCTGCCTCTGCAAAGCCCTAACCTTCTACTATGGAAGTGGGGGGTTCTGGGCCATCTAAGACAAGGGCACTATGGGCGAGAGACACCTGGTGCCTGTGCCCCACTGTATGCCCAGCCCTCACCTTGAGCACAATGTAGCAGTCGGCCTCATAGAACTTGCCATGGAAGGCCTCCTCTACCAGCACAGGAACAAAGTTCTCAATCTGCCAGATGGTCAGGCCGGGCAGCTGGCCCACATCCTCCGTGAAGAACTCAGAGTAGTCGAGGCGCGGCTTCTCCAGGCCCTGGTCCCAGCGCCGTACCTTCCCACCAGGGCCTGGGGTGTCTGTTCTCTCCTGGGGGCACAGTCACAATGAGAAGCTTCACTCTGTACAGCCACTCCCACAGGTCTCTACTTGCCACGCACCCCAGGGCCTTTGCACAATTGTTCTCTCAGCCAGGGCACCCTCTCCTTCAGCCTAGGCCATAGTCTCTCAAGTAGAGGCTGGGACCACCTGCCCTGCCCCTGCCCCAGCCCCTGGCCTGGCTTACCTCTTGCTTTTTATTCTTCTCCTGAGCCACATCTGACATGCCCTTCAACACCTGCTTGGCCTGGTCATCCTGGGCAGAGTCCTTGCGCCTCCGCAGCCGCATCTTTCGAGCCAGAGGGTCCTTGGGTCCACTCCCTGCTTAGGGGAGGGGCAAGCAGCTGAGACCTGGCAGGTCCCACCCCCTTGGGCATCCACCCAACCAAGGGCCAAACTTAACACCTCTGGACCCATCCAGATCCCTGGGAAGCCCCCAGCCCAGAGAACTGTATCCCATCCACTTTACAGATGGAACGTGAGGCAAGGTTAGGCCTTCCCTCACTCACCAGCTGCTGCCGCAGCCACTGTGGCCGGGGAGGCGCCCGCCAGCCGCAACTGGTTCTGCAGCGAGAAGTCGATGTTGTACCACTCAGTGGCACGGTCAGTGGGCTTGGGTGGCATGACCAGGCTGGGGTTCTCCCGCACGTCCAGAACCTGCCTCGTGGGGTGAGCAGAGGTGGCCCATGAGCCACACCTCCCGGCCACCCCTAACCTGGTTTCCTGCTCTTGTCTGCAGCTGCCAGGGCCAAGGCCTGGGTCCTCATCCCAGCACTGTGGCCGCCCTTGTTGAATGGGACCTCACGGGCTGATTGTGTGGCATCACAGACACAGGGACTAGTGGGAGGCAAGGACTGGGCGTGGAGCCCTTTCTTACAGCCCCCGTCAGACTTGGGAAGGAGAGGTGGGCCTCACTGCCAGGCTCCAGGGACCACCTCTCCCTTGAACTCCCTTTATTCTGCAGCACCTGCTCCCCCAACAGAACTAACACTCATTGCTATAATAGGTTCTCTCCACTCATAGTGCTTTCTTTCCCTTTCTGAGGAGGACTGGATGGGAATAATCACACCCATTTCACAGATGAGGAACTGAGCCCAGAGAGGGTCATGACTTGTCCAAGGCCACAATCCATGGCAACTTCAGACAAGAAAAGTTGATGTTCTGTACTCTGGCCCTCCCCCACCCCAGTTCATTCCAAACCCAGGGCACATGGCACCCTCCAAGGAGTCTAAGCTAAGTCCCCCTAGCCTCAAGGTGCACCCCTTTCCTCATGTCTTTCTGAGTGTCTACCTCTGCCCCCTACCCCCTGCTCTCCACTCTCAGCACCAGCCCAGGCCTGCCCTGGACCTCAATCTCTGTCAGGAAGTGGATGGCCTCTGGGAGGGTCACCAGGCGGTTCTTGTTCAGGACGAGTTTCCTCAGCTTCATGCATCTGTGAGGACAGGGCCAGGAGGCAGGGCCTCAGAGGGATGGTGGGGGTAGGGGTGGGGGCAGGGACACTCCTAGTCTTGGTGAGGGAGGCAGGTAGGGCCGAAGGCGACTGAGCAGCTGGGCACCCTTAAGAAAACAGTGGGTTTTAAATGCCAGGAAAGGCAAGAGAAACTGGAGCTGTTGGAGCCAGAGTCTTCGTAGTTCAGTGACTTCTACATAGCAGCATTTACCAGTGTGGCCTTCTGCAAAATTAAGGGCTCCCTGGGTATGAACAAGGGGGCACAGACAAAGCTTGGGTACAGGCAGCTCAGTTCTCTGTCTGCAGGACTTGTCAGAGCCAGGAGACCACACTAGTGGGCTCTGTAGCCTCCAGAAAGGACAGGAGCTGTGCTATGTTCCAAGCTCATGTGGTAGTGGGACCCTTCTGGCCTCATCCCCATCAGCGTGCTCCCAAAGGGTGCCCTGAGAAACCCACTGAGAATTGCTGGCCTGGGCCTGAATGATTTACATCCACAAAGCCAGATCAACCCATTCCCGTTCTATATGATACACAAAGACTCTGCTGTGCCGTGAGCCCCCCCTCCCTCCAGGTGCACCCTGGCCCCAACCTGGCCGCACCTGCAGAGGCTCTCAGGGATCAGCTCCAGGTTGTTGTTGGCAGCCATGAACTCCTCCAGGCTGGCCAGCTTGCCGATGCCTGAGGGCAGCCCGTCAAAGTCCAGCTTGTTGGAGTTCAGGTATAGCTTCTTCAGCTTGGTCAGCTTGCAAATGGCTGACTGGAGGGGAGATGGGCAGGGAGCAGGTGGTCAAGGCTGGCCTGGGGGTGCCCCCACCACCATCCTACCAAGGTCCCTGCACACACAGGCAGTGAGGTGAGCTGGTTGCGGGACAGGTTCAAGGTCTCCACATGTGTCCACTGGTCGATGCACAGGGACAACTCCGTGATCTGGTTGCTGCCGAGGTTGAGGCGGCGCAGGCTGGGCAGGGTGTACAGGCACTCAGGCACCCGTGCCAGGTCGTTGCAGGACAGGTCCACGTCTGTGGGTACGAGGGGTGGGCATCAGCCAGGCCTACACAGTAGGCTCTAGAGCAGCCAAAATTAGTTTGAACCCAGCTCTGTCCTACAGGCTGTGTGATCTTAGGCAAGTGACTTAACCTCTCGGAGCCTTGGTTTTTCAGTCTGGGGTGGGGGTTAATGAGCACAAGTTCTGGACATAAGATGCACACTTGAACAGTCATCTTCGTAATGACAGAAAGAATAATAGCACAGCTGGTATCCTTTTCCCTCTGGGCAGTGCTCCATCATTCTGCTCCTCCCCCCCGGCTTCATAAGGAAGAGAGAATACCCAGAGGGGGCTGTCCACCACAGAAGTCGTAGTCCCCTGACCTGAGAGGTTGCTCAGGCCCTCCAGGCTGGTGGGGAGGTTGTTCTGGGTACGCTGTGTATTCCGCAGGTGCAGCGTCTGCAGGGCCAGCATAGCTGGCAGCTGCCTGCAGAGGCAGGAGGGGAGGATGGTCAGGGCCAGAGAGCAGGGCCATACAGTGAGGGTAAGAGGGCAGGGCCCATGCCCAGAGGGGTAGGGCAAGGCCGCTCCTGGGAGGGCAGGTATGTGGCCAACTGCCTGAGGGACCGGCCAAGGGAGGCTGCAGGGCAGGGTCAGACAGGCAGACAGGACTAAGAAGGGGGCAAGATGATATTTAAGGAGGGTACAGGCCACCCTAGCCAACAGGCAGAGCCTGCGGGGTACAGCCCCACCCAGGAGGGATGAAGTGTGGCTAGGTCTAAAGGGGGAAGGGCCAGAGCTACTGGGAAGTTAAGGCTACAGGGGAGTATCTTTGAGGGGGCAGGGCCAAATCTAGCAGTCACTGAGAGGCATGGCCAGGGATAAGGGACGTGTCCAAGGACTGGGACCACAGACCGCAGCTGTGCGTGCAGCAGCGGGTTCCCATTGAGCACGAGCGTCTGCAGCTGCACCAGGCGGCGCATCTGCGGCGGCAAACTCTCCAGGCGGTTCTCGCTGAGGTCCAGGTAGAGCAGATCCGTGAGGTTGATGAAGAGCTGGTTGGGGATCGTGTCAATGCTACAGCCAGAGAGAGGGAGGCAGGCAGGGATGCCTGAGTTGGCCCGACACGCACGTCCAGGCCACCTGGCTGTCGCATTGTTGTGGCCTAGGCCTCCCTCTCCCACCCTGATCCCCCACCCAGTGGGACAGGCACCTGTTGTGGCTGAGATTCAGCACCAGCATGTTTTTGGCATTCTCTAGCTCCCGTGGGCACTCCGTCAGCTGGTTGTAGCTCAAGTCCTGGGTGGGAGGGGCAAGCCCTGGTGAGGGGTGTCAGGGGCTAGTCCTACTCAGCCAGGCTTCTGCCAGGCCCTGGGAATCAGGAAGCACACTAAGTGGGGAGTAAGGGCCAAAGTGAGATAGCAGGCACCCTGGATGAAGAATGCCTGAGTTAAAGAGCTGTCTCTATGAGGGACCACGGGCAAGGCACTGCCCACTCTGAGCCTGAGTTTCCCAATCTGTAAAATGGGTTAGCAATGGCCCCTGGGGACCAGATGTGGGGTGGGTGGGGACTGAAAGGTCAGGGCCTGCGGAGGGGCCAGGTGGATGGACAACCACTGACCAGGACTGAGAGGTCATCCAGCTTGAAGATGTCATCAGGGACTCCAGAATTCTTCAGGCTGTTGGCTCGAGCCACAATGGCCTGCAGATAAACCATGAAGAGTCCCGTGACTCTTGTCTTCCGCCCCCAGGAAGAAGCCGATAGGTCTCCTCCAGGAAGCCCACCAGAGGCCACGCCTGAGCGCTCTCACACCTCTGAGCCTTTTGCTCATATAGTCCCTCCACCAGATGGGCTTTTCCTAGTCTTCTGGTGAACTCCTATTATACTTCAAAGCCCAGCTCGAATGTGTCCCAGAGCCCAGCACAGGGACCACTCCACCTCTCCCTCCCAGCCAAATTCCACCTGACCCCAGCTCTAACACTGCCTGGATGTGTGATCTTGGTCGGGTGACCTGATCTCTATGTCTAAGTCTCCTATCTGTGAAACAGATTGTTGTTGTTAGGTGCCGTTGAGTCAATTTCAACTCATAGTGACCCCATGTGACCAAACAGAACTGCCCTATAGGATTTTCTAGGCTGTAATCTTTATGGGAGCAGGCTGTCAGGCCTTTCTTTCATGGAGCTGCTGTGTGGGTTGGAACCACCAACTTTCTGGTTAGCAGCAGAGGGCTTAACCATTGCACCACCAAGGTTTTCTGTGAAATGGGTAACAGTTAGGATTATATGAAAAAATCTACAGAACAGTCAGAACAGTACTCAGTCTGTATTGACTATTATTGCTGCAGTTGTTACTGCCAAAAGTGGGTGAGATTTTGCGCTTTTTAACGTTTTCCCAACGGAATTCTCTAATCCACATGGTTTACTTCACACAAGGCATATTTTGTCCTCTCTCCTTTACACCTAGGCATGGGAGTGGCAGAGATGCTGGCCCAGCCTGAAGTCTGGCACTGCCCTCCCTCTTTTGGCAGGACTCTACCTCCACCCCCAAGGCTGGTAGCTTCCCTGCCAGCACTCACCCGCAGCGATGGCAGGCTGGACAGCTCCCCGTGAAGTGTGGTCAGGTTGTTGTGGCTCACAGACAAGTGCTCCTGGGCCCAGAGATAACAGCAGGAGCTCAGTGGAGTGGGTGGGATGGCTACAGAGTCCTTGTCCACCACCAAACCTTGTTCCATCCAGAAAGGCCCTCCGGTATGTAGGCCCAGTACATCTCTGCAGTCTCCCTCCCTCACAGGCTCGACTTCTTCTTGCACACCTCTTGGGACAGGGTGCACACTCCCTCTCTGCCAGCTCTGATAACAGCTGTCAGAATGTTCTTCCTCTGTATCGGCTGCTCTGAGCATAGCCTCTGCTCGCCTGGCCCAGTCTCATCCCCACAGACCCTCCCTGCTAACCTGGAGCTCCTTACCAGCTTCTGCAGGGCAGCCAGCTCCTCCGGCAGGTAGCAGAGGCCAGTGTGGTTCAGCTTCAGCCAGCGCAGGCTGGTCATAGCCTTGACATTCTCAGGGAAGTAGCCACCCTGGGGCGGGGGGATGTCATGGTGGGGTGGGCTGAGAGAAGGGAGCACCCCTTTCTGGTGCCTCAGCTCCACCACCCTCTGCAGCTCCCACTGCTCAGGGGAGCCTCTGGGGACCAACAGAGCTACCTCTTACCAGCTGTGTAACCCCAGACAAGTCACTTCACCACTCTGTGCCTCGATTTCCTTACCTATCAAATGCGGCTAATAAAAACCTTCATGTGACACGTGGTCTGAGAAGGGACTAATTATTACGGTAGCCCTAAATCTAGCTCTCCCGCTGGACTCTGAGGTCTGGGAGGGCCATGAGAGAACAGGTGACACCCGCAGCACCTGGCCCAGGGCCTGGTCAGTATATGTATCAGCTTTGTGTCAGCATAGCCCAAATTCCTTCGCCGGCATCCCAGGACCTGGCTGCAAGGCCCTGCCTGTGCCTCCAGTGTCGTCAACACCCCAGGTCCAAATCTCACTGTATCAGGGCCCAGCTCCCCATCCCACACAGCCTCATTCATTCATTCATTCACTCCCCCCACACAAAGTGGAGGGGTCTGGGGTGGCCAAAGTACCCCTCAGCATTCATGGCCCTGTGACAGGGTTATGGGCAGCACGTGCCCTCATGGCCCATGGCTGGTATCTCCTTCCCATTAAGACTGTATTCCCTGCTGGTGTCTCAGAGAGGAGACCCCTGGTGAGAAAGGTGGTGATGGGGGCGCCAGGTTGGTGTGTATATATGGGGTAAATGGAGGAACAGACTGCCTCCTTGGCCTCAGCCCTGGCTGACCCCCTGACTCCAGCCAAAGCCTGGACAGGGATCCTGAAGCAGCAGGCCAGCTATCGCCTGTGCTGACCTCCCTCCACTTTTTCTCTCTGGGCACAGGCACTACCCACCTCACTCACTCTCTAGAACCACCTCCCCTTCCCCACAACTGGGTTCCTTGCTCCCCTCCTCTACCATTCCAGCAGCTGCTCACTGAGGCCCCACCCCCAAGGGGGGGGCGACAGATCAGACAACTCCACCCAGGACCTGGCACACCAGCCTGACACTCTTCATATCCATTAATCCTCACAACCTCCCCCTGCCTCTGAGAGTGCCGCTGTTAAGTCCCTTGTTTGGATGGGCGGCTCCGGGAGGGGAAGCGACTTGCCCAAGACCACACAGGATGGGGTGGCAGTGGCGGGGACAGGCAGTGACGGCGACAGGCAGTGACGGCGACAGGCAGTGACGGCCAGCTCCAGCCCCGCCCCGGGCAGCCCGGGCGTCAGTCAGGGCCTTACTTGGGTGTGCTGCCTCAGAGGGGCGGGGGTGAAGGCTAGGGAGGTGACTGGGCGGGGCCCAGACCCCGGAACGGGGCCCGAGGAGGGGCTCCCAGATAGAGCCCCTTTCTCCCAGCCCCAGGCCCTGGAGTGAGTCCGGACATGAGCGTCGCCCGCCCCTCCCGGCCTCGTTCTGCCCGGCCGGAACCGTGCGGAGGCCTGGGGTCGGGCTCCGGCAAGGCGCGGGGAGCCCCACCCTGGCCGCAGGCGGGTCCGCGGCGGGCGGGGAGGAAGCGCGGGCCGGCGGGCCGACCTGGGGAGGCGGCACAGGGGCCCACCGCAGCTCACCTTGAAGTCGTTGCCGCTGAGGTCCACTCCTCGCACGAACGGCAGCACCCCAGTGCCCTCCATGGCGCCGCTCTCACAGCGGCCGGAGGCGCGGAGGGCGGACCGGGCGGACGGAGGGCGGACCTATAGCTGTCCCGGGCCGGCTCCGCCCCTTTAACCCGCCCGCGCCATCCGGTAAGTGGCGCCGGGCTTTCTGCGGGAGCGCTGACAGCGCCAGCGGGGGTGGAGAGGCGGGTGTCAGGGTGCCGCAGGGCCGGGCACTGACCCCTGGGCTGCTGCAGTGACCCGGGGAGAGAGTCTGGAGGAGGCGCTAGGTCCTGCATGGCCGACGGGGTACTAAGACAACCTCGGGTGTAGAGCTCTGGGCAGGCTCCAAAGTCTGTTCCTGGCCTCGGATTCCTCATCTGTAAAACGCTTCCTGAGCAAATCTACGCGTAGCTCGCTGCATACAGCAGGGCTCAATTAGTGGCGCGTCATTGTTGTTCCTGCTGATACTCAACACCCACTTCGCTGTTCATTTATTTGCTTACTGGCCCGACCCTCACGCCGGCTCCAGAAGAGAGGCGTCCATCTTGGTCTATCTGGTTCACGAGTTCTCGTAAATAAATGCGAGAGATTTCACAGCTGTTATTGTGACAGTCCGGTGTCCCCATTTCACGGAAGAGAAAACTGAGAACCGGGTAAAGAAATGGCCTATGTGAGTTCACACAGGGCAGGTGGCCGGGGTGCACTCTCGCCACACTGTGCCTAGTGGGCCAACAGGTAATGTCAATGAGGTTACTGAGGCTCGCTCCAGGGGCGACCTAAGGCGATCGAATGAAAGGGGGTCTGGCTGCAGCCTATTGGCCAGCAGTGTTTGCCCGGCCCAGAAGAGAACGCGGCCCGGATAGCTTTCTCCACACCGGAGGCTCCCAGCATAAGTACAGCCGCGTCACCACGGGCCTCTGGGTTGGCTACGCCGCGCGCGCACACAGCTCCTCCCACCGCCCTCTGCGGGCTCGGAATGCGGTCTTGCACCTTTAAATGGGGCGTGCGTGGGCGATGTCCCGTCCCCAGGGAGCGCGCCGAGAGCGAGGGGGCGTGGCTGGCTCGCTACTGGCTGAGCCCCAAAGTATTTTGGAACGCCGGCTAGAGCTCTACGCGGTTTGATTGGAGGTACGGCCTGCCTGTCTATGTGTCCCTGGAGGGGTTACGGTCTCCTGGGGCTTCGGCGTTCGGTGCCGGGTCCTCCACGTTCCATTCCGAGCTGGCTGGGGCTTCGGGGCCGGGCGGTCCAGCTGCGCCTTCCGCTGCGTGTGCTGAAGCCGCGACGCAGGTACGGCCGGAGCGCGGCGGACGGCCCGCTCACCCAGTCGGGTGTGGCCCGTGCTGGGACGCGGTCGGGGGCGTGGCCTTTGCGCAAGGCGGACAGCCTAGAAAGTCTGCGGCCTGAGTTCGAGTCCAGGTTCTACCCCTATTCTAGGCTCTGCACCTTTCCGGGGCCTCAGTTGCCCTAGGTATCATCGGGGCCGTAACTCTGCCGGTGGTGTCCCAGGCGCAGCCAGGGCCCGACTGCGCAGAGTGGGGTCCTTCTCTCGAAGTTGGAAGGCTACGGGTTGGGGCTGCGCGACCCCAGCAGGGGCTGAGCTGATTCCCAGTTTAGACGGGTGGGAGCATTTAAAGCGCTTTACAGTTCGCAGAGTGGATTTCTAGCCGCATGTCACCAGCTGCAGAGCGTGGTGGGTCACCCGGCTGACCTGTCACCTCCCCAGGTCCCCGAGCCCGCTTGTCCTCACTATTTTTAGTTGGGGCTGGTGGGCAGGTGTCCAGGGCTGAGTCATGCCTGGCTTTGGGCTTCAGCTGCTTCAGGCATCTCCTCATCCTGTGACTGAGCCCCAGGCACCCACAGCAGGGCAGGGAGGGCAGAAGTCCGTGGTGGCCAAGCTGGCTGTGACTCAGGGTCATCAGCCCCTGCCTCCTCATACTGTTTAACGAGACTCCTCTTGCTAGAGCCCAGGCTCCTAAGCTTGCCCCTTGGTCACCACCCTCCATCAGGTCTCCGGTTGGTGGGCAGGGCCTGAGGGCAGCAGTCCCCCTCCTAGAACCTAAGACTACGGTGGGCCGTGGGAAACCTCTGTTTGCACCTCCCACTTCCCCAGTGCGCAGCCCCATGCTTCCAGGTCTCTCACTTCTTCCTTACCCTGCCTGTGCCCTTTGACAGCGGAGACAGGCGGGGCCCTCAGGCGCTGGTCTTTGTTGCTTGGAGTCTCTGCAGCTCCACCTCCCCCGTTGTCCTAAGCCTGAGAGGCTTGGAGAGCCCTCTCTCTGGAGATACTGGGTCAGTCTTCCGGGGGCTTTGCCTTTGGAGCTACCTCAATCACTGCCTCCCCAGAGCGGAGCCTTCAGGCTTTATCCGCATCTGCCTATTTGCAGGCAGGACCCTGTCAGCCTGGGCCATCTCACTGTCCACCAAGGGCTGCCCTGCCAAGATTTGGGAGCATAACTGTGGCTCCTGAGGTTCACTGAGGTCTCTTTTCAAGGTCTGGGAGTCTCAGGGCAGGCTGCCTGGGACCCCAAGTTACTGGTCTTCTCTGGGCCTTGGTACACAGAGTGGATTGGAGATCAGAGGGCTGCTGTGCCACCAGCCCTGCTTAGGAACCTCAGGAAGAGGCAGTCTCAGGCTAGCCATCTTAAGGGATGACTGATCAGACTCTGGGGTGGTTAGGAGGCTGAAGGCTCTGCTGGCGTGGGACCATGTCCCCACCCCCCACTGTGTTTCTAAATCAGGGTGGTGATAACTACCCTCCTCACAGGTGTTTCGTAATGTCCTGAGGGGTGGGTGGGCTGGTGGGTTGAGGATGGGCCTCCTTCTCTGACCTGCCACACGCCTCAGGGTCTCTGTGAGCTCCCCTTTACAGAGGGTGGGTTGTTTGCAGGTTTGGGGGAGGGGGCTTGGACAGCTCCTTCATCTCTTCCCAAGAAACCGTACAAATGGCTTTTCTCCTGAGAAATTCCCAGGAGGCCCTCCTGTGGGCTCAACTCTGTGACCAAGCCTAGTGGCTGGCACTCCCTGCCCTTCCTGTCCCAGGTGAGCCTGGCTTCGCACTCCTACAGGCTAACCATGGCAGAGTTCTCCCAGAAGCGGGGCAAGCGGCATGATGATGCTGTGCTGGGCAGTGCCGTGGACTTCCTTCTGGCCAATGCCCGCCTGGTGCTCGGCGTGGGCGCGGCCGCCGTGCTGGGCATTGCCACCCTGGCCGTGAAGCGGGTAAGGCTGGCAGGGTCACCCCTGGGCTCACGGGAGGACATAGGGCTGGGCAGGGCCTGGGGCCTGGGCACCTCCACTCCCCCTTCATACCCTGGCTTGCTGTGCCCCTGGGCCTTGTTCTGCTGCAACTGCCCAGGCCTCAGATGCTCTGATCTGTGTTGATCTGCCTGCAGCTCATTGACAAAGCTACCAGCCTGCGGGATGAGGAGGATGACACCAAGGGCAATACCATGTGCCTGGAAGATGGATGGAGGGAGCTGAGCCTGCTCAAGGCCACGCCGCGGCCACAGCCTCGGCCCCTGCCTGCTGCCCTCAGCCAGCCTGTGTCCACCCTGGCCCCCTCACCTGCTGCCCCAGGTGAGCGGCACTCCTTCCCTGGTGACATGTGTGGGCTCCCCTCTGGTGGCCACATCTGGGAGACAGCGTGAACAAGGTCTTTGAGTTCAGGCCCCACCACTGGCTCCCTGTGACCCCAGGCAAGTTGCTGCCCCTTTCTGCAATGTAGAAGGGGGTCATATTTCTCCTCCTACCTCCTGGTACCAGAGTGAGGCAGCAGCGTTATGGTGGGGGCATGAGAACCTGGGGGAAACCTCTGATGGGGAAACTGAGGCCTAGAGAGGGCAAGACCTGTCCAGGGGTGAGGCCAGAACCCGATTCCCCCGATTTTACAGGAAGATGTCTTAACTGCAGGGCAAGGGGTGGTTGGAGTCGGAAACAATGAGAGCTTGTCATTGAGCACTCACTAGACATGAGGGCCTTATTGTCGCCTCCACTTTACAGGTGAGCAAAATGAGGCTGAGGTGTCACGCAGCTAGTGACTGGGTGGAGGCCCCTTTACGTGTCTGCCCTGTCATGGGTGTGCTGACACATTTTCCTGACCCCTTGGCTCTGCAGAGGCACCTGGAGACAATGGTCCCTGGATGCCACCTCAGTGCAGCTCCCCAGCACCGCTGTGCCTGACCTTCCAGGAGAAGCTGCTGGCATTTGAGCGGGAGCACTTGGCCATCCCAACAGTTGATGTGGCTGTGGCCCAGCGGCTGGCTTGTGACATCAGCCTCGAGCTTCAGGCCTTCCTGCGGAACAAGTTCCCAGAACTGCCCTTCGGGGCCCCTGAGCCCAGTGGGCCGCTCTTTGACGGGCTGCAGGCCAGTGCTGCCGACCCTGTGCGCCTCCTGGTGCCACTGCGACTGGAGCCAGGCCTGTGGGGCCTGGTGCCGGGGGCTGACACTGTGGCTCGGGACGCTCGCTGCTGGGCTGTGCGCCGGACCCAGTTGGAGTTCCAGCCCCGTGGGAGTAGCCCCTGGGACCGTTTCCTGGTAGGCGGCTACCTGTGTGCCCAGCTCCTGCTGGAGCTGCTCCACAAGGCACTGGCCACCTCCGTCAACTGGCCGGCCATCAGCAGTCTCCTCGGGTGCCTGGTGCGGCCCAATGTGATCTCTGAGGAGCTGCTTCTCGAGGTGCGGCAGGAGCACTTGAACCTCACTGTTGCTGTGCTCCCTGCCATGGTTGGCGCTGGTAACAACGACCGCGTCCTCCTGGCTTGGCCCCTAAAGGGGCTGGCCGGGAATCTCTGGCTGCAGGACTTCTACCAGGCCGAGTCCACCAGGCTGCGGGCCTTGGATGACCAAGATGCTGGCAGCCGTCAGCGACTTCTGCGGCTGCTGTGTGGTGTCTGCTGCCGTCACCCAGCCTTGGGGCGGCTGGGCCGTGACCACCTCACCCAGGTGGTTCTGCGCCTGGGGGAAGAAGAGGTGGACTGGGCTGAGGCGGCCCTGGCGTCGCGCTTCCTGCAGGCCCTGGAGGAGCTCATTGATGGCCTGGAGCGGGCCAGCCTGCTGTGCCACTTCAATCCCAGTGTGAACCTCTTTGGCAACTTGCATGAGGAGGAGATTGACAGCATTGGCTATGTGCTGTACAGCGGCCTGCAGGCCCCCGAGTGGCTGCTCCGGGGTGGTGTGGCCAGCATGGGTTCTGATGCTGGTGCGCTGTGTGCGCCTCCCTCCCAGGGTTTTAGAGAGCACTTTACTCTTGCTTTCAGCTAGAATAAAAGAGGGCAAGTTTCCTAAGCACATGGGCTTGACAGGTGCTCGGTTGCCTGGACCTGCCTAGAGAGCTTGTATGGCTGTCACCTATGCTCTGCTGGGCTGTCTCTTTGCAGCCTGGACTGATGACCTCTCATCCCGCTCCCCTTGGGCTCAGTCTGTCATCACCAGCAATGAACCCACTGATGGAATGTGGCTTCTGCCACCCAGCTAGGGTGGAAGGTCAGCTCCATTTTTTCCACTGAGATCTAGCACTTTCTTGGGGCATAGCTTCAAGGCATCTTGGGGCTTCTGGTGCCACTGTCAAGTGTCATGTGTTTGTTCTTTTGCCCGGGGGCTACGCCTGGTGCTCTGGGAGTATGGTTTTTGGCTCTTTAAAGGATGGTGTTTTCCCGATGTCTTTGTATGTGTGGTATTCTCAGGAGCTCTAGCTCTGGAGCCATGCTTGGGAGCAGGATATCCCCTCTAATTTCAGGGGAAGATGCCTTTTCCCTCAACTGGGCAGGCTTTCTCCTTGGGCACCCCAGGCCTCCGGAGAGCCCTGTCCTTGCTGGGAGGGCTGAGGGACTTGGTGCTGGCTCCCTCGCCCTGAGCCCGGGAAGTTCCGCTGTAGCTGCTGCTCACCCGGCTGGACAGCAGAGGCCAAGTGTGTGGACCAGCTAGCTGCATGCCTGAGTGAATGGCTCTCAGCTGACGTCTGTTCTGACTCAGGAGCCTGCTGCCTTTGAGCCTGCCAGAGGGGAAGGGGGTGCTACAGGAGGGAGAGCCCACCTTCCTGCCCAGATGCCTCCATGTCTCTCCAAAACCCTTCCTATGAAACAAAGCTGTGTCTCAAAGAGTATGAATAAGAATAAAAGGACACAGTCCTTGTATACACGTGAGTCACATGCTGGCGAGGGGGCAGGTAGCACACCATACACAGCTGTGTGGAGTGTTCCAGAAGCCTAGTGGCTCACCCTGGCAGCCTGACCAGAGGGTTTGACCATCAGCAGAGAGGTGGTAGGGTTTCACTAGAAAAGTAGGTGGAACTTTGGAGTTGAAATACTAGAAGATTCCTGGTGTGACAGCTTTCCTTGGTAGGCTTATATCCTGGGTCCCCACTGTGCCCACTGGCTTTCTGGGAGAGGTAGCTGCTCCCAAGCCCTCTGGCCACTTGCGGTCAACTTTCAGGGGAAGGTGATTTCTCCACATCTCTGCCTCTCCTTGCACAGGTGGGAAAAGCAGGTGTGAAGCAAGTACATCCCAGTGTCCCTGCAGGAGCCTCACGAGCTCACCTCCTTTGTCACCACAGATGACAAAGGCGGCCTGTCATGGCTGCAGGGAGCCCGGGGTGGACCTGGGACCATGTGTCCACGTGTGTGGCCACCACAGCTGTGTCATTTATGTTCCTGCTGCTCTTCTCCTCCCCATCCCCTTGTATTCCCAGCGGTGGCTTCCTCCCCCTTCTGGCTGGGACTCCAGGGCAAGCAGAGATGGAGATGAAGGGTCCAAGTCCTCGCTCATCTGAAAGGCTGTCACCCCTCTGGGAGGCTGCATTGGGGGCGGTATGTGTGCTGCCCCTGGAGGGGCTGAGACAGGCTCGCTGACTCCGCAGCAGAGGATGAAAGGTGAAGACATGCTCAAGGTGGCACAACAGGCCAGCAGAGCGCCAAGACCAGAGCCCAGGTCTGTCTGGCCTAAAATGTCCAACCCTTTCTTTGGTACAGTCTAATCCAGCAGTTCTGAGTCCTGGCACACAGAGGAATTATCTGTGGAAAGATTACAAACCAAAAAACGCCACTAATATCCAGAACATATAAAGAACTCCTATAACTCAACAACAAAAAGACAAGCAACCCAACTAAAAAATGGGCAAATGATCTGAAGACATTTCACCAAAGAAGACATTCAAATGGCCATCAAGCACATGAAAAGATGCTCAATGTCATTAGTCATCAGGGAAATGAAAATTAAAACCCCAATGAGATACCATTTCACACCCGCTAGGATGGCTATAATAATAAAAGAATATAACAAGTGTTGGTGAGTGTCATGGATTGAATTACGTCCCCCCAAAAATGTATCGATTTGGCTTGGCAAGGATTCCCAGTATTGTGTGGTTGTCCTCCATTTGTGATTATAATTTTATGTTAAAGAGGATTAGGATGGAATTGTAACACTCTTACTAAGGTCACATCCCTGATCCAATGTAAAGGGAGTTTCCCTGGGGTGTGGCCTGCACCACCTTTTATCTTAGAAGAGATGAAAGGGAAGTGAGCAAAGAGATGGGGACCTCATACCACCAAGAAAGCCGTGCTGGGAGCAGAGCGCGTCCTTTAGATCCACGGTCCCTGCACGGAGAAGCTCTTAGTCTGGGGGAAGATTGATGAGAAGGCTGACAGAGAAAGCCTTCCCCTGGAGCTGACGCCCTGAATTTGGACTTTTAGCTTACTTTAGTTTGAAGAAATACATTTCTCCATCCACTTGTGGTATTTCTGTTAATAGCAGCACTAGATAACTAAGACAGTGAGGATGTGGAGAAACTGGAATCCTTGCCCATTGCGGGTGGGAATGTAAAATGGTGCGGCCACTGTGGAAAATAGTGTGGGGGTTCTTTAATAGGTTAAACATACAACTACCATATGATCAGAGTCCTTGGGTGGTGCAAATGGTTAAGTGCTCAACTACTAGCCAGAAGGCTGGCAGTTCAAATCCACCCCAGAGGTGCCTCAGACAGGCTTGGTGTTGTAAGCGGCCATCTAAGATACTCCACTGGTCTCATCCCTTCGGGAGCAAGGGAGAATGAAGGTAACAGGATACAAGGAAAAGATCAGTCCGAAGCTACCAAGGCCTCCAGTGGACTGAGTCCAGTACAGCTAGATGGTGCCTGGCTACCACCACTGACTGCTCTGACCAGGATCACAACAGAGGGTTCTGCACAGAGCTGGATAAGGATGTAGAACATAATTCTAACTCACAAAAAAAACATCAGATTTACTGGCCTAAAGGAGACTGGAGAAACCCCGAGAGTATGGCCCCCAGACACCCTTTTAGCTCAGTGGTGAAGTTATCTCCGAGGTTCACCGTTCAGCCTGGGAGTGGACAGCCCCGTAAAACCAAATGGGACTAATGATGTACTGTAGTCCAGTGACAAGGGCCAGAAGGCAGAAGGGGACAAGGAAGCTGGTGATAGGGAACCCAAGGTTGAGTAAGGATATTGTTGATGTGTTGTGAGATTGTTAACCACTGTCATAGGGCAACATGTGTAGTAACTGTTAAATGAGAAACTTTTGTTCTGTAAGCCTTCATCTTAAGTGAGAAGAGCAGCACAATTGGAAGAGCGCAGTCAATGTCACTGAACTGTGCATGTAGAAATTTTGAAATGGTGTATCTTTGGCTATGTGTATTTTCACCAAAAAAAAAAAAGGTTGAGAAGTTGCAGGGTTGACATGTTGTGGGGTTTTTAACCAATGTCATAAAACAATATGTATACTACTGTTTCATGAAAAACTATTTGTTCTGTAAGCCTTCACCTGAAGTACAATTAAAAAAAAAAAAAAGGCTTGGTGATCTGCTTCTAAAAGGTGAAAACCCTATGGAGCAGTTCTACTCTGCACAGATGGGGTCTCCATGAGTCAGAACTGACTTGACGGAAACTACCACCACCATATAACACAGCAATTCCATTCCTAGGTATATACCCAAAAGAACTTGAAAACAGGTGTTCAGATATTCATACATGACTGTTCATAGCAACACTGCTCACAATAGTCAAAAGGTGGAAACAATTCAAATGTCCATCAACAGATGAATGGATAAACAAAATGTGGTATGTGCACACAACTGAATGTTACTAAAGAGGAATGAGGCACTGATATATGCTATCACATGGATGAACCTTGAAAACATGCCAAGTGCAAGAAGCTAGGCAAAAAAGGACAAATATATGATTCCATTTATATGAAATGTCCAGAACAGGCAAATGTCCAGAAAGCAGATTAGGGGTTGCCAGAGGCTGGTGGGAGGGGGGATTAAAAAATAAAACACAAATGCAGGACCACACCCCACATCCGCTGATCCGGAAGCTCCACGAGCAATTCCAAGAATCTGTGCTATAAAAATTCTCCACCTTGATGCCCAGCGAGGGTACCAGCTACTGTTCTGACTGGTCTAACACCCGACAACAGTTCCAGTTTCTTCACCAGCCAGCAGTGTACTCTGGGCAACGCACACCTCACTGCCCCTTGGTTTCCAAACTACAAAATAAGGCCGATGTGATCATGTTTTATTCAGTGTTCTTGTGCAAGCATGTTAAGATGCGTGCCAACCTATGCGAAGTGTGGAGGACGAAAGGTAACAATCTTGCCCTAGGCATCTGCTCTGCTCTGAGGGACAAATGGTTTAGGGGGAGGGGGGGAGGGTGGAAGCTCTCTCCAGCACTGGCTGGTGTTTGGACCCATGGCTCTTGCACATCCCCAGACATGCCACCAACTCCCGTCAGGCTACCAGGAGAATCCTTTATTAAGGCACTTGAACTGTGGGGTGCCCTGGCTGCCATGGCCTCTAGGTGAACAGGGAATAACGTCTCCTTTGAGGACACAACTTCAGAACAAGAGCCATGTCCCTGCTTCACACTGCCCTTTCTGGGACATCCAGGAAGAAGCCCCATCCAGGTGGCGACAAAGTAGGGCTAGGCTGCCCTGAGCCTGCACTGGGAGCTCGCCCACAGGGGAAGAGGCCCTGAGGCTTGTTTCACTGAGGCTTCTGCCTCTGCCCTCCTTCGGCAGCAGGGGACACTGCAGCTGGGAGTGCCACCTACCCCAAGCCCTGGCTGCCAGCTTCTCCCTGTGTGCTAACCCAACAGTCGAAGGCCCACACGGTAGCCGGTCCAGGACTTCCCAGCAGGGGCAAAGGTCATTCCTGAGCCTGGGCAGAGGGCCACTGTCCAGCAGAGCAGACTTCCCGGGAGCGGTTGGACCCTGCACTCCTAGACCAGGGGGGCCAGGCCCCCAAGCCAACAGGTTCCTCGAATTTCCAGGTCAGTGATTGGCCCCCAGTCCTTGTCAGACAACTCAGACACAGGGGGCAGGGCTGATGAAGGGCCCACTCTACTGAACCTGCCCTCATCTGTTCTGAGGACAGAAGGGACGGGTGTGTCCAGGCTGGTGGCAAAGGCTGCATTTCCGGAGTTTCTTTGCTGTAGACCCAGTGTCAGAGGAACTGGCCCGGGGTCTTTTGCTTCTGACCTCTGGCCCCTGGGTATTCCCTCTGCCTCCTGGCCAAGGTGTGGCTCCAAATGTCCCTGTGGGAAGAGTCAGGGAAGGCTGAGTTTAGACCTGACACACTGAAGCATGGACTTACAGGATGCATGTGTGGTGGAGGGTACAGGCCAGGTGCTCCCCTGTGGAGGGAGCTTCACCCATCAAAGTGTGAGGCGAGTGCCACTTCCTATCAAGGTACAAAGTGTGTGCCACTTCACACTGACCCGACCCTCCTCACTAAAGATGCTCAGCTCGGGAGGACATCCTCCCTCTCACAGTCCTATCAGGAGGACACAGGGCCACAATCCATAGGCTCATCTATAGAAGCAGCAACAGGTCCCTGGTCGTGGGGTAAAGCAGCAGACAGGGAAGCAGACCTGACCACATGCTCACCCCGCTTCCAGGCAAGGAAGCCTGGGCTCTGAATTCTTTCAGTCCTTCCACAGGCCTTCCTGCTCGATTACCTGGGACCATCAGTCGGTCGGCCTGGAGGCCAGATACCCCTTCTCTCCTGACCACATGGATGGGGACTGTCACACGTTTCAAGTGTATAAACGGCAAGCTTTGAACATGGTGCTGGCACAGTGACCACCCCTGGGATGAGAATATGGTCTAGCAAGGTTTACAAAGGCCACGAGGGGCATGTGGAATCAGGCAGACCTGTGCTCCACTCCTGGCTCTGTCACCCTGTGACCCTAAGCAGGTCACTCCACCTGTCTAGGCTTCACTTCCCTTAACCTGTCAGGTTGGGAAAACAACGCTTACCAGACAAAGACGAAAGAAGTACAAAATGTATCAGCACAGTGTCAATTCCCAGCAGTGATCTTCTACTTGGGATGAGGGGTGTGCTGTGCATTACCTGGTAGAAGCAGACCCAGCTCCCCTGTTGAGTCCCCACCATCACACCGTCTGGCCTTCTCTCTGCTTTGTCTCTGAGGTGGAGACTGCCATGAGAACTGAGGGCTGGGGTCTGCCTGCCTGGGATGGGGCTGACGGGACAACCTCTGTGCCCACCTCACCTGGGGCTGCATTCTTGTCGGCCCACTGGAAGAAGCCGCATTGCTGCTCTCTGGGCTTGGAGCAGGTGTGGAACTGGCGCCCTTTATTGGGCCCATCCTTCTGCACAGTCCATGTGACGGCCGGCTGGCTACACAGGCAGGAAGTGCCACCACTGCCATCCCCTGGCCTGCCAAGCCCATCCAGGTGGCTTCCTGAACCCGGAGAACATCCCAGAGAGCCGCCAGGGTGTCTTGCTGTGGACGGAGGCCCAGCTGGGCCTGGTGGGCTGTCGTCAGCCCACAGGAAGAAGCTGCAGCTGCCCCTGCTGCACTTGTAGAACTGGCGGCCCTGGTTAGGGCCCTCCTTCCGCACGGTGAGCTTCAGGGCCTCGTGGCCACAGTTGCAGGTCACAGAGTTGCTTTCAGCAATGGCAATGGGTGGTGGGAAGGCCCGGGCCAGAGCCCTCAGGGGTCCAGTCTGTCTGTTGCCAGAAGGCTGGGGATGTACCTGCTGGCTGCCGTCTATTCTGTTCAGGGACTGGCTCGCCTGCAAGTGGCCCGAGGGCTGGCTGGCCGTCTGGAGAGCTCGAGGCGGCCCTTGAGAAAATCTCAGGTCCAAGATCTTGCTGAGGGTCTCGTCACACCCGCTGATGCAGCCAACTAACTCCAGTGGCATGGTCGGGGGAATGCTGCCACGCTTGAACTTCAGCTTCAACCTAGTGAGGCCAGAGATGAGGAAAACCATGAATACCCAGGTACAGAAGTCTTCTCAGTCCAAAGGAGTTGTCACCCTAGGCGTCCCCTTGCCAACCCTGCAGCCCCTAGGCCCAGCAAGCCCAGACACATCTGAGCAGCAAACATCCTCTAGTTACTGTAAGAGTGCAGACTGGAGATGAGAGCAAATGAAACCCAAGAACTCAGATTAGCCACCAAGTGATAGCCACCTTGGGAAGCTAATGGTGCTCAACACCAGCAGTTCTCACAGGGTGGTCAGGGCCCATCCAGGTGAGGTCACAGCCATCTCTACACTAGTGCCAACAGCTCTGTCTGTCCTAAACTCAACCTCTGGTGTGTGCAGAGTTTTCCAGAGGCGACAACATACATGATAACTTTGCAGACTGAGCCCAGAAGCAGGCTGAAGTCTTCTATTAATTCAGACATTAGACTTGCGAATGTACAACGTCTCTTTTTTGGTTTTGGAAAATAGGTATTTTATTATAAAAACATGTTATTTATGTTAATGTGTAATGTGTTTTTTAAAAAGGAATTAATATTTTAAAAGACGTCTCCACTTTCTACTCCGGTAATTTTTTTTTTTAATTGTACTTTAGATGAAGGTTTACAGAACAAACTAGCTTCTCATTAAATAATTAGTACACGTATTGTTTACAACATTGGTTATGCTATGATAAATATTGATACACATAACCCACAACAAAGGCTTCTTGGGTTCCTCAATGATGTTTAAGAGTGCAAAGGGGTCCCTGACCAAAACGTTTGAGAACCACTGTCTATACTAGGGCTTTGGGTTTTTTAGGGGAGCTTGAAAGCCACAAACAGTAAGTGACCACGTTTCCAAGCCTAATGTAGCAATTGCCTATTTGGAGAGGGCACAGGAAAAGTTGCCTCTTGGGTTTACTCACAATGTGTGGAAGGCCCCCTCCTGCCCCATCAGGCCTCAGCAGCAATGCTAGGCACAGCAGAACCCCAAGGTGGCTCTGAGCGAGCTCCGTGGGCATCTGCTTCCATGCTATGACAGGAGAGGAGGCCAGGCCTGGAGGCCCACTCAGTGTAAACAGGGTACGGACCCTGACATGGCTTAGAGCAACAGCTCCCTGGGCATCTCCTTCCATGCCATGACAGGAGCATGAAGACTGTCCTGCAGCATGCCCGGATGCTCGCTCACCTGTAAACAGGTTGTGGTTGACAGACTGGACACACACTCTCATCTCTGCTGGCTTCCAGGACGGAGTCAGGAAACCACATGGCTGACCGACACTCTGGGAAACCCATGCAGCTGAGGTAGAACCTGGGGAGGCAGGAGTGAAGGGTCAGAAGGGTCACCTGGACACCCTTTCTCAGCTCAGCAGGTAGACGCAGTGTTTCAAGGCCATCACACCACAGGGAACTCTCTGTCAGCAGACCCCGGAAGACCTTCAGGAGGACCCTCACTGCTCTGGAGGACACTGACAGCGAGTGACCTAGGAAAACTAGCCTGCACCCCTAAGACACTAAACAGCTGTGCTGACTCAGCCTTCTTTAAAAGCAACAGCCAGCTGGGAAAGAAATGCTCTTGTGGACTGTTGCTTTTAGGCCCTGTGCCATGCACTCTCACACCATCTCTCATTTCTTCCTCATCACAATCCTGCGGGTAGCGTGGGGAGGGGTGTAGGGACTGTCAGGGCCCTCAGGGTACCTCTAAGTAGACCAGTGCTTGGAGGGTTCTGGTAACCTGCCTAGGATATATGTGTAGTAAGCGGGGGACTTAGGCTTGGAAATCTATGTACCTGATAAAAGAGACTTCACTTCTAACACCTATACCATGTGTCTTTCTCAGCCAACATTGTGACGCCTTTCAGTCACAAAACTACGGTCTGACTAGTCAGCACACACAGGATTTACAGTTTCCTCTGAGCATGCCTGGGTGTGACTAAACCGGAACAAAACACACACACACACACACACACACACACAAAACAAACACAAAAAGCCTCCCAATTATTTAAATAGCAGATCCACAAACTCCAAAATAGAAATTATTAGATACATTGTAGAGCGGTGACTGCACGAGATAAACTCCACGTCTCCCTGGGTGACTCAAGAGGACTCAGCGAAGCATTCTTTTGTTGTCAGATGCATGAGAGAACTCAGAGCTAAAACAAAAGCAAGTATTCTTTCCCCCTTATACTCCAATAATTACTATTACATTTACTTACTGGTGGCAAAGAAAAAAAAAACATCAACAGCATTGATTAAGGCTTAAATACATGCATCAGGCACTGGGTCCAGCGTATAGCGGCTCTGGCTTCTATGACCTTTGTGGACAACACCAGCCCCACCACCTGCTTCCAGGTCTGGTCCCTGACTGGGACTTTTGGTTTCCACGAGCTGGGGTGGCCTCCCCTTCACCAAGACCAGGCCCTGAGACCTGGGTGAGGCACTGGGGAAACCATGCTCCTCATTCAGGGCTTTCGTTTCATCTGCCAGCAGCAGGAGGCAGTGTCATACTGTGGCACCTGAGGTGAGCAATGAAGACATGGGACAAATTTTGCATTGCTGCTCACTAAGGCTCCCTGACCCTGAGCAAGCCGCTGCAGGTCCTTAAAACACTGGCGTGTGCATGTTGCCTTGCAGGGTGGCTGTTAGGCTCTGATGAGGTAATGTACCAGAAGCACCTTGTACCGGGCCAGCCACAAACATCATACAAGTATGGAACTGCTGCTCCTCAACAGTCCTTTCCCCGCGAACTTCACCCAGTGGCTAGTCGCTAATGAGACCACCTTGGACACCCTGATTCTCGGGATGAACTCCTGCACTGAAAATGACAAGACATTTGAGATTTCAGAGCCAAAACTAGAAGAGAAGAAGACTAGTATTTGTTGAATCTCTATACCATATCAGGCACTGTGCTAGACTCTTGATCCCTTCATTTACTCCTCACCCGTACCACAGCTTTATGAGGTGGAAACTACTGCCTTACTTTATGGAAGAAGAAATTGGGGCTCAGAATAGTTACGCAACTTATGTCGAGCCACAAATCTTACACGTGGCAGAAGTGTATTTGAATCCAGCCCCGTCTGGTTATAAGGGCCATGCTCCTCCACAGTCACACAGAGTGAAGGACATCCTATCCACAGGGAACAGAAACCTCACCATCATCCAGTCCCCCTCCTCTGAATTCTCACAGTACGTCATGACTTGAAGGTCAGGTCCCAGTCTGCTCCCCTTATCTCTCTAAGACCAGTGCAAGGGCTGATGACAGGATGCCTGCCTTTAAATAGCGACACAGAAATGAAACACCCGGGGCCTCTCAGATTGCTGTCCGATCAACACAGCAGGGACTGGGGAAGCAGAGGGGCAGGCGCTGGGCACAGACCCGCCGTTCTTTCTGGTTTTGAGGACCATGTCCTTGTCGCACTGAGGACACTTCCTGATGGGCTCCGGCATGGCAGGGTAGATCTCTTCTTGCTGGGGCACCTCAGCTCCTTCCCCAAAGTACTGGGACAAGGCCTCATCCAACCTGCAGAAAAAGACAAAGACACATACCAGGTGGCTCTCATGGCAAAGGAATTTGCAACATCCATACGTGGACACAACATGCATGTGACCTTAGGACCCAGAGGGCCAGTGCAGCCACTGGCCCGACACTGAGGACAAGAGCAGAGAGAGGGCTAAGCTTGCCACCCGGCCCTGGCTCCCTGACTCCCAGCTCCTGGGCAGCCCTGGAAGGAACCCAGCTGCAGGCAGATACAGAAGTGGCCCCTTTCCTGCTTCTGCCCCATCATTGCCATACACTAAACAAATACAACTACAAAGTGTCCACGCCCACACACACAAGTGTCTGTGTGGTTTGAGTTTAAACCAGCTCATGAATTTCTTTTCAAAGCTGGCACGGGGCAGAAAACATGTTGTTTCTAACAAAAGTGACAGACGCTGCCCACTAGAGGGGCAGCCCGAGTCCTCCAGAGAACAAGGAGTCGCACACTAGCACCTGGGTTTACTGATCTGTAAGCAAGCTGATCACTAATTCAAGGCAGGCATCAAGAGAACGGCATTTCTAAAGCAAACAGCCCAGATAACTGGGCCGGGTCTCTGATTATTGTTCTTATACTGACAAAGGAGCCCTGATGGCGTGGTGGTTAAGAGCTACAGCTGCTAACCAAAAAGCTGGGAGTTTGAATCCACCAGGCGCTCCTTGGAAACCCTATGGGGCAGTTCGACTCTGTCCTATAGAATCGCTATGAGTTGGAATCGACTCGACAGCAACAGGTTTTTTTGTTTTTTTTTAAAATACTGACAAAGCTCTATGGAAAGGAAAAAAGCAAAACCCAGAGGAGGCAGGCCCAAAGTGGAGGCGCCGGTATGGGGGCACCCAGGCACAGGAACAAGTCGCTGGCGAGGATGAGCTCAACTGGCAGTGACTTAACGCCCCAAAGTGCACAGGTTATAAGGAACGATACCATATTTTCCTGCTGAATCACTCCCCCCAAACTCCGACTTCTAATTAGGGAATGGTCATCACCAAGGCCTCAGAGACCAATGACCTCTGGGGCAGACCAGGTTCTGGCACTCACTTCTTAGCTTTAGCTACTGCTTCAATGAAAACTTGCTTGTATTTCTGGACTTGCTGCCTTAAAACCACACATTTGTCCTTCTTGCCCTCACAGATCAGCTTCAGATCAGCCTCCAGCTCGGCCCGGAGGTCTGGCTTGGACATCTCATGGCCCATGGAATCATAGCCTGCAAGGAGAGCGGTCTGTGAGGACTAGCAGGACAAGGCCCGCCCCCGTGGCTGCACCCTCCCCCTTACCTTCCACAAGCCCCATTCCCAGGTGCCCCGGGAGAAACCGCTTGTCTGCTGTGAGCCCCACGTACATCCGGGCTTTGATTGTTTCGATGTGCTCTGCGTGGGTGGCATCAGTACCTGAAAGGCATTGCCCGGTTACTCTGAGGTAATACAGACACTGCCGAGGAGACTGTGGCACCTTAGTAACAACAGGCCCTCTCCTGCACCTGACTTCCTCTCCAGGTGAGACACCTTGTTCACAAGAGTCCACAAAGAAATTACAATGGCAGCCGCACCTCTCCTTCACATCTGCGTGCTCATCACAGGCAATCACTCACTGCAGCTGACAGCCCATCCTTAAAATGTCTCAAGTCTTCCTCCTCCACTCTGCATGTCACAAAAATGGCTGGGAGCCCACATCACCTCAAGTGCATTGTCACAACATTCTCGCTCTCCTCCTCTCCAAACCCATTCTCTGTGCTGTGGTCAAAGGGATCTTTTGCAATGTAGCTCTGTCATCAAGGAAAGGCAATCAAGACCACAATGAGATACCACTTCACACCCACGAGGAAGGGAGAGTCAAAAAGTCAGAAAACAACACGTGTTGGCAAGGATGTGAAGAAACTGAAACCCTCACCCATTGCTGGTGGATCGATTATAAAATGGTGCAGTGACTTTGGAAAAGTTAGGCAGTTCTTCAAGAAGTTAAACACAGAGTTGATATACGACCCAGCAACTCCATTCCTAGGTATATATCAAAAGAACTGAAAACAGGTATTCAATCAAAAACTTACATCTGACTGTTCACAGCAGTGTTATCCATAATAAGCAAAAAGTGGAAACAACCCAAATGCCCATTAACTAATGAACAGGTAAATAAAATGTGGTGTATCTACATAATGGAATATTATTCAGCCATTAGAAGAACAAAGTTTTGACATACGCTACTGCATGGTTGAACCATGAAAGTATTATGCTGAGTGAAAGAAGTCAATCACAAAAGGCCACATATTATATGATTCCATTTACATGAAAGGTCCAGAACAGGCAAATCCACAGACAGAAAACAGATGACTGGTTGCTAGGAACTAGAGGTGTTTAGGAGAGAAACGGGGCTCCTGTTAAAGGGTACAGTGCTTCTTTTTGGGGTGATGAGAGTGTTCTAATACTGATTATGGTGATGGCTACACAAGTCTGTGAATACACTAAAAACACTCAATTATACATTTTAAACGGGTAAATTGTATGGTATATGAACTACTTCTCAACCAAGCTATTATATAAACTATTTTTAAAAAGTATAGCTCTGCCTACATTGCTCCTTTACTTAGAAATCTTGCAGGGTTCCCTGCTGACCACAAGTCAACAACCAAGCTCCACAGCCAAACACGTAAGGCCCTTAAACTCTGGCTAAAATCACTGACTGTGGAGTTATTCAGACCCAGCCTTTCACAGCTCACAAACTTTGTGACTGTAGGTAAGCCCTGACCTCTCCAAGCCTCACTTCACCTATAAATGGGGATAAGAACATAACACTGACATTACAGAGTTGTTGTGCAGATTAAATGAGATACAGAGACGGCAGCTCCTAACACCTTGAGTTACTGACCAATGCCATGCTTTTCCATGAGGGAAATGAGGTCAGCTTCGGTGAGCAGCTGGGGCGGGCATGTCTCTCCATCCACCATCTCCACAGTACTGGGCTGGAAGCAGGAGCCTCTCTCATAGATAGGGATGGTCTGTATAGAGCGGCAAAGCTCCAGTCAGATCATGCTGTCATCATACTCAGGAAAAGACAACTTGCATTTCAAAGAATATACTCCTGCTTCATCAGATGGCATTAAGGCTGGGTACACAACTGTCTCCCCTTCCCTGAGGCCCACAAGGTCAGATACTCTGAGACACAGCATCTGACCTCTGCCTGAACCTATGATTTTTCACCTTGTCACTCCAGTGATCATATGGATACACATCCAGATAGTTTCGGGCCAGAACCATGAGGCCATTGGCCAGGAAGCGCTCCTGAGCAATGTCAATCTCCACAGTAGTCTCTTGACCCTGGGCATTCTGGGAGCAGCAAGCAAGGAAATGGCGAACAATGAACTCATACAGTCGTTGCTCATCTCCCTGTGGAAAAAAGAAGAGAGTCTGAAAGTCCCTACAGAACACTAACCCTCAAGGGCATCAGCGCCATCCGTGGTTTAAACCAGGGCCATGCCTCTTCCAGCCAAAAGCTCTGAACAGAGCAGGGCACACTACTCCTCGAGACCTCTGCACTAATATGGAGGGCCAGGCCCATCCCCTGGGTGCCTACGAGTTCAGGTTGAAAAACTTCACACTTCTAACCAGGCTAAGACAAGCAAGGGAGTCATCTTCCCCTCAAGAGCTGGAAATGATACTTGTGACATAAACCCAACCTAAACAGAAAACAAGATGAAAGAATAAGTTAGCAAGAGACTCTCTAACATATAAAACACTGCCCCTGGCAGCCTTGCTGCTGTTGTTAGGTGGTGCCGTTGAGTTGGTTCTGACTCATAGCGACCCTAGGTACAACAGAACAAAACACTGCCCCGTCCTGACCCATCAACACAATCGTTTTTTGCTTGAGCTCAGTGTTGTAGCCACCGTGACAATCCATCTCGTTGAGGGTCTTCCTCTTTTTCGCTGACCCTGTACTTTACCAAGCATGATGTCCTTCTCCAGGGACTGATCCCTCCTGACAACATGTCCAAAGTATGTGAGACAAAGTCTTGCCATCCTTGCCTCTAAGGAGCATTCTGGCTGTACTTCTTCCAAGACAGATATGTTCCTTCTTCTGGTAATCCATGGTATATAGTCAATATTCTTCACCAACACCATAATTCAAAGGCATCAATTCTTCTCTGGTTTTCTTTAGTCATTGTCCAGCTTTCACATGCATATGAGGAGACTGAAAACACCATGGCTTCGGTCAGGCACACCTTAGTCCTTTAAGTGATATCTTTGCTTTTTAACTCTTTAAAGAGGTCTTTTGCAGCAGATTTGCCCAATGCAATATGTCTTTTGATTTCTTGACTGCTGCTTCTATGGGCATTGATGTGGATACAAGTAAAACGAAATCCTTTACAACACTTCAATATTTTCTCCGTTTATTATGATGTTGCTTATTGGTCCAGTTGTGAGGATTTTTGTTTTATGTTGAGGTGTAATTCATACTGAAGGCTATGGTCTTTGATCTTCATCAGTAAGTGCTTCAAGTCCTCTTCACTTTCAGCAAGCAAGGTTGTGTCATCTGCATATCGCAGGTTGTTAATGAGTCTTCCTCCAATCCTGATGCTGCGTTCTTCCTCATATAGTCCAGCTTCTCAGACTATTTGCTCAGCATACAGACTAAGTATGGTGAAAGGATACAACCCTGATGCACACCTTTCTTGACTTTAAACCAAACAATATCCCCTTGTTCTGTTTGAATGACTGCCTCTGGGTCTATGTACAGGTTCCTCACGAGCACAATAACGTGTTCTGGAATTCCTATTTTTTGCAATGTTATAATTTGTTATGATCCACACAGTTGAATGTCTTTGTATAGTCAATAAAACACAGGTAAACTTCTGATATTTTCTGCTTTCAGCCAGGCTCCATCTGATATCGCTCATTCCATGTCTTCTTCTGAATCTGACTTGAATTTTCTTGGCAGTTCCCTACTGATGTATTGCTGCAACTGCTTTTGAATCATCTTTAGCAAAATTTAGTAAAATTTTACTTGTGTATGATATTAATGATATTGTTTGATAATTTCCACATTCTGCTGGTGTATCAGTGTATGAGATATTAAATACACCTACTCCTCACTTATTGACTATCTCATTATCGGACATTTTGCAATTATGACAACAGTAAAAAATCTACTACCCAACTATTTTGCACATTAATGATCTACATTTGGCAGTAACGAATGCCAAGGTATGAGGTCAAAGTAATACTGGTTGTGACGGTTAAGGTTATGCGTCAACTTGGCTGGGCCATGATTCTCAGTGGTTTGGCAGATGTAATTTGGCAGTTATGTAATGATGTAGTAGTCATCCTCCATTTTGTGATCTGATGTGGTCATCCTCCATTTTTGCATACTGCCGATTTTCACATAACCACCTGGGTCTTTGGGACCTAACCATGTTGGTAAGTGAGGAGTGGGTGTAGTTGGAAACAACCAAAATTTCCAAAAACAGATTTAGTAAAATAAATTATGTAATCATTAGAAATTATACTTTTAAAGAATATTTCAGCATGTGGGGAAATGCTTATAATATAAAAATGAAAATAACAGAAATGATATAAAAGGGAAAAAAGAAGTTTATAAAATTATTTAAGATTCTAATTTTAATGTAAGAATATTACATACACGCATAGAAAAAACGTAGTTTTTATTAGGGGGTGAGGTTACAGGCACATTTTTTATTCTTTGTGATCTTCCGTATTTTCTAATTGTCGAAAATTAACATGTATGAATTCCATAATTAGAAAGAACAGCAAAAAACCAAAAAATCAAACCCACTGCTGTAGAATTCATTCCAACTCACAGTAACCCTATTGGATAGAGTAGAACTACCCCATAGGGTTTCCAAGGCTATAATCTTTTTTTTTTTTAATTGTACTTTAGATGAAGGTTTACAGAATAAACAGTTTCTCATTAAACAGTTAGTACATATATTGTTTTATGACAATGGTTAACAACCCCATAACATGTCAACACTGTCCCTTCTCAACCTTGGGTTCCCTATTACCAGCTTTCCTATCTCCTCCTGCATTCTAGTCCTTGTCCCTGGACTGTCATGCCCCATTAGTCTCGTTTTGTTTTATGGGGCTGTCTGATCTTTGGCTGAACAGTGAACCTCATGAGTGACTTCATAACTGAGCTAAAACCGTGTCCAGGGGCCATATTCTTCGGGTTTCAAGGCTGTAATCTTTACGTAAGCAGACTGCCACATCTTTCTCCTGTGGAGTGGCTGGTGGGTTTGAACCTCTGAACTTTGGGTTAACAGCCAAGCACTTAACCACTGCACCACCAGGGCTCCATGAAAGAACAATATATGTTGTTAAAAGGTAAAACAAAGCTAAATTGACTTAGCTTTGCAATAAGCCTGCAATCTAAAACAAGCTTAAACAGCCTCTGCCCTCATGGAGCCCACTCCCCAGCTGAGGAAATGATAACAGAAACCTGTGAAACAATCAGACATAGCTAAGTGTGAAGATTCCACAGTGAGTACAGTACAAAAGAATGTGGATTAAAGTTTCAGGACTGTGATGGACACTGATCCCATCTTTGAAGGATGGACAAGATTCTTATCACTAACAAGGCAATCCAGTTCTGTGTGGACGTGGTGGTGGGTGTGGGCATGTGTGTGGTGGCAGGCGTGGGTGTAGGCACGGGGGTGGGTGTGGATGTGATGGTGGATAAGGGCATGGTGGTGGGTATGGGCATAGACGTGGTGGTAGGTGTGGGCATGGTGGGTGTGGTAGGCATGGGTGTAGGTGTGGGCATGGTGGTGGGTATGGGCATGGACATGGTGGTAGGTCTGGGCACAGACATGGAGGGTGTGGTCGTAGGCATGGTGGTGGGTACAGGCATCTGACTGTGGGCAAGTGAGGCTGGATAAAGCGTGCAGCCTATCATGGGGGGGTTTTCATGAAAACCAGGCAGAAACCTGTGAAACAGAATTGTCACGCTGACTTCTCTTTTCTGATATGGAAGAGGTAGCTCAAAATCACTTATTTCCTAAAAAAGGAGCCCACAGAGTAAATTCAAATGCTACTACTGAGCCCTCAGCACCTCTCTGGGGCCCAGCAGGTGGCAGCAGCAGAAGCATATTTAGGAACTAACCTGCAAGCCACTGGTGCATTTGGTGGGGTGAATGGGAGGGTGGGCTTGGTCAGACTTGTTTCCGTTGCGGGGGGTAGGACCACCCTGCTCTAGAATGCTCTGGGCAAAGGCACCCCAGCGTGGATCCGGGATCTGCTGCTCCACCAGCACTGTCAGGTTCAGGTCTTTGGGGAAAATGTTTGTTTCCGTTCGGGGATAGCTGATGTACCTAAACAAAGGCAAAAAGAAATAAAAAGAAATGGCAAGGTCCTTTAGTTGGTCTGTAAATGGTTCAGCTAGACCAAAACCCCTAGTGACTCCTGCAAGCACCCATCCGACGCAGCCAACTGGATCACCACACTGAGACACCCTGAGCTGTAGCCATGGGGAGAGGCAGTTAGCAGGCTCTGCTGCAGCACGGTGGAGGATCAGTGGCCTGGGGAACACTGGTAAAGGATCTGGTGTGGCAGCAGCAGCAGGGCTGGGCAGCGGCAGCCCTGCTGCAATGGAGGAGTCCTACTGGCCCTGACAGCTACACAGTTATGTGTCTTAGTCATCTAGTGCTGCTGTAACAGAAATACCACAAGTGGATGGTTTTAACAAAGAGAAATGTATTTCTTCACAGTAAATTATGCTAAAAGTCCAAATTCAGGGCGTCAGCTCCAGGGGAAGGCTTTCTCTGTCAGCCTTCTCGTCAATCTTCCCCCGGACTAGGAGCTTCTCCACGCAGGGACCCTGGGTCCAAAGGATGCGCTCTGCTCCTGGCACTGCTTTCTTGGTGGTATGAGGTCCCCTGTCTCTTTGTTCACTTGCCTTTCCTTTTACTTTTATCTCTTGTAAGATAAAATGTGGTGCAGGCCACACCCCAAGGAAACTCCCTTTACATCGGATTGGGGATATGACCTTAGTAAGGGTGTTACAATCCCACCCTAATCCTCTTTAACATAAAATTACAATCACAAAATGGAAGACAACCACACAATACTGGGAATCATGGCCCAGCCAAATTGATACATACGTTTTTGGGGGACATAATTCAATCCATGACAGTGTGTATGTCTGTAACTTTTTTTAAGGCCAAAGGACAATGCTATCCAAAAGAAACACGTGGATTTTGTATCTAATTTACCATTTTCTAGTAGCCACACTGGAGTCCTTGGGTGGCACAAATAGTTAAGCACTCGACTACTAGCTGAAAGGCTGGTGGTTCGAACCCACCCAGAGGCACCTTGGAAGAAAGTCCTGGCGATCTGCTTCTGAAAGGTCACAGACTTGAAAACTCTATGGAGTCGCTCTATTCTGACACATCTGGGGTCACCATGAGTCAGAATTGACTTGACAGCAACTATTAACAGTAGTCACTTTAAAACAGTAAAAAGACACTAACTCTAAAAATATGTAATCAATATAAAGAATTATCAATGAGATACATTACATTCTTTTTTTATACCAAGTCTTTGAAATCCAGTGAGTATTTTCCACTGACAACACATCTTAACTCAGACAACCCCTATCTTGAGTCCCTGGTTGGATGTGGCACGTGGCAGGAGTGCTCAGGACCCCAAGGAAGGGCTGCCTTGCCACAGGCAGACACCACCTAGAGGTGCCACCTGCCCCTGGCAGGCCACTAGAAGGTCAACAGCAGGACGTGAATTTACTCTGTGGCTCTTATTCGAGGAATAATAGATTCTCAAATATCTTTTCATATTAGAAAAATGAAGTCAGTATCACCATTATTCCACTTCAAGGATAAGGTGACAGATATCTAGACCATTTGTGCCTCCCTTATAAGCTCTACTTCTAAAATATTTCATCCTGATAAAGACACACCAAAATCTATTCCCAAATCCGGAGGATTTACCCTTGAGTGTAGAGCCTCTCGGCAATCCTCATGGTTTCCTTTGCATTTATTCTCAACTTGCGTGAAGCCAGCTTCTCGAGCTCCTGTTAAGTGAGTCAGCAGACACGTTAGCTTGAGTGGTGGTCACAGGGCACAGAGTACACACACATTCCACACCTGTCACTCCAGCTGCTGCTGTCATAGGGGGAAAAGAGCTGCTATCCTCAGTAGCAATTAAAACTAGTAGTGACAAGGGACAACTAGGGGCAAAGACGCAAGACCTGCCTTGTCTTGAGAGCCACAGGCTCTGCCCTCTGGGCCTGGCTGCATGCAATCCCAGCATCTCACACGACTTAACATGTTTACCTAATGTGATCTTGAACGCTACTCGGAATTACTTGAAAATGCAAAAGTGCCAACTGCAGAGGCAGAGGACTGGGTCCTGCAGCAATTCTCCACAGGGTCTACTGTTATTCTCCACAAGGTCTACTGTTATGTACCTGGGGGCCTTGGGTAAGTCATCACATTTCTCTGGGCCTAGGTTTCCTTACCTGCCAAATTAATGAGCACTATTTCCCAAACTTGACTAATCTTAAAAATACAGATTTCAGACTCCAACTCAGACTTACTAAATCAACCTCCAGGGAAGGGACTTGGGAATTTTTTAGCAGGCACCGCAGGGGAATTTTTACAGGCAAGAGTGTGGAAAACGAGACAATAGCAAGGTTCCCAAACCTGGTTGCTCATCAGAAGCACCTGGGTGGCTCCCTGAAATCTGGAGTCCCAGGCCCACAGCAGAGCAGTACTTCAGAATCTCCAGGATTGGGGACCAGAAACTTATTTTTCACTGGCTCCCAGGATGACTCATCAGCTGGGCCTCAGTCCTTAGAGGCCCATGGGTCAGAGCAACCCCAAGGTCCTCTCTAGATCCATATTGCCCACAGGGGTCTGTCTCCACCTCCCTGGTCAGAGCCCTGCCCCCACAGGGACATCCAGCAAGCAAGGGGCCAAACATGGTGGGCCCTGGAGTCTGGAGTCTGACTCGTAATCTCAGGGAACATGCGCTCTGGGTCCTAGCTTCCTTGTGTGTACAATGAGTCACGATGACTACCTCTCAGGTTGTAGGAGAGATTAAATAAGGCAAGTGACACGGACCCTCCTTGTCCGTCCACAGTTCTGTGCTCCTCTCCTCGGAATGCGTGTGCAGTCTGCTGTGTGAAACCATCTCAACATCCACACCAACGTGTGACCACAGCCAGCCTGGCTGTGACCGCCAGACAACCTGGCAGAGCCTACAGGCAGCAGCTCAGCCGATGTCTGAGAACTCACACCTATGTCAGGAAGCCAGCAACCTGCTGGCAGCACAGGGAAAGCACATGCCTGTGTTTGCCAGTATAAGAGTGCTGGCCAAGTGCTCCCATGAAGGAGCCTATGCCTTGAAGGCAGCTGTCAGAATGGCCATAACATTGGCCCGAAGGAGCTCTGCACAGGAGGGGCTGATTCTGCGACTCATGCTCAGGGCACTTTTTTCCCGTAAGGCACTGCCTTTTGATGTGCGTTCTAGGATCAAGGGTGTTTCTAGAATTCTGGTGACTAGTCTCTTAATGCTGTTAGCCTCACAGCCTGTGATACAACCCTCTCAGTGCAGCTCCCAGGCCCTCCACAATCTGCCCCTGCTTGCCTTTCCAGCCTCCTCACGGACATGTTCCGACTACCCGCAAGCACTCTGCCCCACATCACTGTGCCTCCTTGATTACGGGTCTTTCGACATGCTGTTCTATGTCTCCTCACAAGATCATCTTGGCCATGCCCCCTCCCAGTAGCACCTCCGGCCCATCGTGGTTCTGGGTTCTCCTAAACACACCACTGTGCTGAGCCCACCCCAGCACGGAGCAGACAGTGCTGCTCCCACTCATCTATACCCTATGTGAAAATAAATACTGTGTCGGTCTGCTCCACCTTATAGTCCCAGGGCCTAAATGCTTAAAAAATGTTAGATAAGTGGGTGACCAGAACTTGTGTTAATAGATCATTTCTACCTCATCAAAGCCAGTTACTCTCCTCATTGATTCTAGTCTCTCTCTACTCTCTAGGATCTGGCATGCATAAGGAAATGGGAACAACTGGGTTTCGAATGAAGCACCCCCTGCCAACTTGGAAAAGACGGAGGAAAACTGTGAAATTGATGCACAGATGCAAAATTGCCCATGAAGAAATGCTGCCATTCAACTCAACGCATTAAAATAGCCAAAGAGCCAGTGTGTGTGTGTACCACTGTGGTGCGTGTCCATAGCAGTGCGGTGTGTCTGCAGCAGTGCGGTGTGTGTAGCCGTGCGGTCCATCTGCAGCAGTGCAGTGTGTCTGTATCAGTGGGGTATGTTTAGCAGTGAGGTGTGTGTAGCAGTGCAGTGTGTCTATAGCAGTGTGGTGTCTTTAGCTGTGCGGTGTGTGTGCAGCAGTGTGGTGTGTGTAGCACGGTGTGCCTGCAGCAGTGCAGTGTGTTTAGCAGTGTGGTGTGTTTGTAGCAGTGCGATGTGTGTAGCAGTGCGGTGTGTCTGCAGCAGTGCGGTGTGTTTAGCAGTGCAGTGTGTTTGTAGCAGTGTGATGTGTGTAGCAGTGCAGTGTGTCTGCAGCAGTGTGGTGTGTCTGCAGCAGTGTGGTGTGTCCACAGCAGTGCAGTGTGTTTGTAGTAGTGTGTGGCTCTGCTGCAGATGCAGGACCAGGAGCGTCTGGGAGCAGATGCTGCCTCCCCTCCTGGCCTGGTACAGTAGAGGGAGGCTGTGGTCTCAGGGTCTGAGCCTTTCTGATCTCCCTGACGTAGACTGCTGGCAGGAGGGCTGGATTCATCAGGCTTTGAGATTCTGCTCCCATGGGCAAGAGACGCAGCCATGAGATGGATGGACGGACGCACACACCAGGTTGTTTTAAACCTTATCCAACACCCCTAGCTCTGATTACAGCTCACCAATCAACTCAATGATTATAGGGTGACTTCTCAAGGTGATGGGCCAGAGAGGATGCACCCATCAAACAGACTTGGGGTGCGTATTCCTGATTCCACTGAAAAGAATATCTCCTGGCAAACCAATAAAGTGGCTTCCAAGTATGGATGGCTTCCTACATAGCGGTGCTACGGAGAGACGGCATGCAGTGCGTGCTGACTACTCCTCACTGCAGACAGACAGGTGGCCCTGGCTCTGGGCAGCAGTCTGTGCGCTCAGTGAACACAAGCCTGGTAATGAGAAAGGGATGACTCCAGTGTGCTCAAGGCAGATCCCTGGGCCTAGTCAGTGGAGCCAGACCCCAGGCCAGGGCTCGCAGACTCTGAGGTACACAGGTAGTGTCCCCTGGGAAGCAAGCCAACTCACAGCCCTGACTACCAAGGATTCTGATAGAGGAGGGGTGGGAAAGTGGCCAGGAACTTGCATTTTAACAAGCAGGCTAACACACTGACTCTAACATAGGTGGTCTGAGAACCTCACTTTGGGAAACACCACACCAAGCCCCAGTGAAGTCCCCTGGATGATGAATACCATTCTTCCAGGCCACCTGGGAGATAGTCAGCAGTTCTCTTTCCTTGATGATACTCCAACAACGCTGTTGACCGCATGGCAATGCGTATTTAGCCAGTGAGGAATAAAATACATATGCCTACGCTATAAAATCGCTCTATAACATTCCCCTTAGTCCCTTAATAGACACAAACACACATGGCCCCGCCCCCTCCACGTGTGGTCACCTCCAGAGTTGACCCTGAGCATGATGATAACTAGAATTTTCCTGCAAAATGGTACCTGGGAAGGGGCACCTCCGATGTGATTTACCCAGACTTGTGTCCCATGGGGATGGCCCTCCTTGGAATTAAGACATTTAAGAAGCCCTGTTCTAAGACAGGTTCAATAGCAGATATTTAAAGTGATATTTACACAGATTATGTAGCAAGATGGAAAAATGATTGGGTGAAAAAACAAGCTACTCTGATCACAATGCTGTAAAAATATGCACATTAAAAAAATAGGAAGATACTATTACTGAACATTTTGATCAAAGATTCTGTAGGAGAACCTTGATCAAAAGGGGGGAAATGCAGAATAGAATTTCAAAATTCTCATGGACTCCAGATTTCCTGGAGCCTAGAGGCTGGATGAACCCCTGAAACTATTGCCCTGAGATAATCTTTAAACTTTAATCCAAAACTATGGCCCTGAAGTATTCTTAAAACCAAACAATAATTTAGCTTAACTAGTAAAGAATGTTTGTCTTGAGCATTATGCTCTTTTAACAATTATCTGTTTGGGATGAAACTGACAACAGTAACTCAGAAGATAAGATAGGAGCCTTAGGGTGCAGTGAGTTTATGTTAACAGGGAGGAACAACTTAGAAAAGGAGGGTGAGCATGGTTGCACAACTCGAAAGATGTAATCAGTGTCACTGAATTCTACGTGCAGAAAATCTTGAATTGGTATATGTTTAGCTGTGCATATTCTTAACAACAATAAATTATAAAAAAATACGAACACACAAAAAGTATATTAATAATTATGTGAAAATGGTGAGGTTACAGGTGATTTGTCCTCCTCTTTTTGTTTTCCAAACCTCACAGAATGCAGTTACACTGCATCTGTTAACTTAAAAAAGGCAAAGAAAAGCACTATGGGGCCAAGCAGGCCCATGTTTTGGGATTTCCATTTTTCCCAAGTGCTGTCCTGTGTGGCCTGTGAGGTGGTGCTTCCTTCCACAGGGCCACAGGTCTGTGCAGTGTGACCCGTTCCAACAAAAGAAGTACACGTTATCTACTCAGTGGCAGAAATATCCACCCAGAACGTACCACAGTGTCCAGGGCTTGAGGCCTCCACTTGCTCTTCGGCTTAGAGCAGACCCCCACCACGGTTGCCATAGGATCCTAGAAAGCCAGGAAGAGAGACGACCACATAGACCTGTTGGCACATTACCCCCAGATTTCCGGTGACAGCCCTGCTCACCATTATAGATGACACTGGGCAGCACCTGAGCTGTCGCTGAGGGGAGCACCCCTATTTGATGCAGGCTTTTAGCCAACAGTGCGCGGGGAGTCATGATCACCATCCCGCGCAAACCAAGTGTTTGGAGGGCAAGTCCACAAGCTGTGTTCCTCCTCAGGAGCCTGGGAAGCAAGCAGTCTGTGCACTTCTGCAGCATGGTTTCCATACAGACTGTCAATTTTTTTAAATTCAGAATAGTATAGAGTAAGAGATAGGAAAAAAATGCACAATACAAGCTGGAAAACTCCAATCCTAAAACCAACTTCACACTTTTAAGAGACTGTAGATGGGCAAAGAACTGAGCTGAAGTGATTTATTAATGAGGACCTATGTATATCAAAATCCCGAGTTCTCCCGTGCAGTAGACTGGGGACCCCTGCCAGGACTTCTTGCGTCACCTCCTGGTGGAGTTGAATGGGCAGGTGCTTTTCGTTATCAGACAAATGTGCAGTGTCCCAGACGCCCCAGTGGTGTGTGAAGTTGTGGGAAAACAGGGGCCTCCTGGAGGCAGTGCAGTATGTATAGCAAGAGCATGGGCTGGAGAGTTGATATACCTGGCTCAAATCTGTTCTTTGCCATCACTATCTCTAGTGTGTCTGTGATCAGGCTACTTAACTTTCTCCAGGTTTCTCACCTGTAAGATGAAGATAACGTTACCACCCTCACAGGCACAGGAGCACTAAATAAAATAACATGTAACAAAGTGTGCTTGGTGCACAGCAGATGCTCAGTAACCATTGGTCCCCTTTACTAAATCAATAACACCTGTCATCGGACTACAGCCACATGACTGATCAAACCAGAGGTCTCTGGACTTGACTTCGGCACCACGGTGTGCGGCCCCTAGGTTGAACTAGGCACTTCTGTTCTGACTGACAGGGGCTGCATCATAAAGTGGACAGTCTGAGGTCAGGGAATGTGAAGTCCAGCCCTGACTCTGCCACTGATCAGCCAGTGACCCTGAAGCAGCTGTGGTCCTTGACATGTGCTGTTCCCTCGACCTCGAGCACACTTGCCCCAGATCCTCCTCTGGCTGCCTCCTTTGAATCATTCAGTCCTTCTCTCAAATGTCACCCCCTCAGATAGGCCTTCTAGGCGCACCTCACCTAAACACTCTCCTCACTGACCTCCTCCCATGAGGCTGTTCTCTCTCCTTGACCTGCTTTATTTTCCTTATGCCACTTATCACTGCAGGAAATGGACTGCTCACTCATGACTTGCTGACTGTCCTGTTTCCCCCCACAAGGGCAGCAACTGCCTCTGCCCTGTTCCTACGGTGTCCCCAGTACCTAACACAATGCTTGGCACACAGCAGGCGCTGAATAAAAATGTGACAGACGTGCCTGTCATCCCCGTGGATGTCTGCATCTGACCAATGGAAGAGAGGGCTAGACCAAACGCTGTCCTGCATCCTTCCACTGCAGGAGTCTACAGTGCTGACCTGGCAAGGCTGTGGCGGTGTGCTGCGCTCCAGGGGGACTGCACTGAAGGAGCTCTCAACAGCTCGGATTTCCTCTCAGTTCCACACTGCATGCAGATGGAGTGGACCCTTCCCTTCTACATTTTCAGTGCAGTTTTCATGGGGTTCTAGTCTTACTGGTTCCCAAACACTGATGCCCTGAGATGCAAGCTTACAGACACAGAAATAGCTACAGTTCAGTGGGAAAGGAGGACGGGAACTTCTCTGACAACAGGAAGGGGGAGCTGGGACACGTGTAGAAGGCTTTTTCTTAGATCATGAAGATTTCAAATGTATTTCTTACCTCCATACACAGCTGATAGAGGACGAGACAAGCTGTGTGGTTAAAGAGACGATGCCTTTTCCAGCTGAATTCTACAATGCCATCTTTGTGCTCATGAGTTACTGTATTTGGAAAGACAAGCAGGAAAATTGACTCAGAGAAGCTACATGATGTTAAGACTGATAAAAAGAATATTAAAGGGAAAGTCAAAGGCATAGGAAACAGCGAAGTTTCCTGACAGCTAAGAAAACCTCCAGTGGATTCTGAATATCATAAGGAGCAGGAAGAAGGGCAGCACGACTAGAAGCCACACTAGTGCTATGGCTGCTCCATGTTCCTCTGTTATTCCTGGGCCCTCTGGCTCAATGCCTGTTATGGATTGAATTGTGTCCTCCCAAAATATGTGCTGTAAATCCTAATCCCATTTGCGAGTAAGGTTTTCTTTGTTAACGAGGCCCTATCAGTGTATGGTGTGTCTTAAGCTAATCATCTTTGAGATATAAAATGAGATCAGGAACAGAGAAGCAAGTAGAGATGGGGGAAGATAGACGCTACACCACATAAAGATCACCAAGGAATCAAGGAACAGAAGCTGAAAAGAGACAAGGACCTTCTCCCAGAGCTAACAGAGAGAAACCCCTCTCCTAGAGCCAGTGCCCTGAATTCAGACATCTAGCCTCCTAACTGTGAAAAAATAAAGTTCTGTCTGTTAAAGCCACCACTTGTGGTGTTTCTCTTATAGCAGCCCTAGATAACCAAGAAATTGCCATAAGCAAGACTAGAAGTCACACATCTAGCTAGTGCTATGGCTGCTTCATATCCCTGTTATTCCTGTGCCCTCTGGCTCCACACCATAAACCTCTCACTTACCTTTAATTCTGTGGAAGGTTTCTGGCACAAAAGCCTGAATGGCTTTGAACCTCTCCACCACAAAGCCCAGTGTTGGAAACTGGCAGCTGCCATAACTGATCAGCTGCTCAGCCAACACCTCGGGGAAAATCCTCTGAAGCCTTAGGGTCTGGAACCTTGTGAAGGCAGCACCTGGAGAGCAGACAGTAGGGAGGTGAACATGACAGACAGCAAGGGCAAAGTCAGCTGCACATATGCACATAAACCCCACAATTAGCCCCCAACATGCCACAGGACCTTCCTGTGTGGCCCTCACCAATCCGCAGGTCCAGCTCTTGCCTCACGTCTACAGCATCACTCACTCTCTGGTCGGGATCTGTCAGATTCTCACAGGCTAGCCTGATGGCTTGTGGGGTGATCTCAGAGAAACGGGCCCTCAGCACCGGCAGACTGGGCTTCACTGCGAAACAGAGCAGGTCAGAATCCAGCCTCACTGCCTTTCACCACAACGGGGAAAGGGCTTCCTTTTATCATGCCACCTTGAATCACGAGGAGTTCATGTCACTGACACGGTTGAGTTCATGTTGTATAGTCTAAGAGGGAAACACCACTGTGCCCTCTCAACTGAATGTGGTCAGAGATAATGGGGAAGTGAACACGGCTACTAATGAAAAATCTCTGGTAAAACTTGTGAGACATTAGTCTCACTTACTCTTAGACCTTTAGGGAAAAGAAAAACTTTACCAATTAAAAGGTCCTGTGGGGGAATGTTCATGTCCTTTCATGAGAGAATATAGGACATACGCTGTCCTTGACAGTTATTTAAGCTCCCAGGAGGCATCACAGCTTTTTACACAAATATACTTAGGGAGAACAGTACCCTCTACCCTTTGAGCCCTAGAATTGCCTGTTCACCACTTCCTCTAAGTTACTTCAAACCAATATCCCTGTTAGAACCATTCAAATTCACTTCATTAAGTACTTATTAATACTCAGGCATTGAACAAAGAATAAAACAAAAAAAACCCAAACCCATTGCCGTCGAGTCAATTTCGACTCAAAGCGACCATAAGGACACAGCAGAACTGCCCTACAGGGTTTCCAAGGAGCAGCTGGTGGATTCAAACTGCCGATCTTTTGGTTAGCAGCCATAGCTCTTAACCATTGCACCACCAGGGCTCCGGAACAAAAAGATGGGAGATAAAAATTGTCTTTTTTTTCTTTTTTTTTTTTAAATCTTCCGAATAAAGAATACGGGAGATAAAAAAACAAATAGAACATTTTAGAATGATTCTAAGGCATGCCTGACACAAGCCATGGTATTTTCAACTGCCTCACACACGTGAAAGCTAGACAATGAATAAGGAAGACTAAAGAATTGATGCCTTTGAATTACGGTGTTGGTGAAGAATACTGAATACACCATGGACTGCCAGAAGAACAAACAAATCTGTCTTGGAAGAAGTACAGCCAGAATGCTCCTTAGAAGTGAGGATGATGAGATTACGTCTCACGCACTTTGGGCATGTTATTAGGAGAGATCAGTCTCTGGAGAAGGACATCATGCTTGGTAAAGTAAAGGGTCAGCAAAAAAGAGGAAAACCCTCAATGAGAAGGACCAACACAGTGGCTGCAACAATGGGCTCAAACAGCAATGACTGTGAGGATGGGACAGGACCAGGCAGTGGATCTTCTGTTGTACACAGGGTCGCTATGAATCAGAACTGACTTGACGGCACCTAACAACAACATATACACATACAGATACATACATATACGCAAACATATACGTATGCACATGTATATACATGGTTCCTGGGTGATGCAAACAGTTAAGTGCTGGGCTACTAACCAAAAGGTTGGCGGTTCAAACCCACCCATCAGTGCCCTGAAAGAAAGGCCTGGAGATCTGCTTCCATAAAGATTACAGCCAAGAAAACCCCATGGAGCAGTTCTACTCTGTAACGCATATAGTCACCACGAGTCCGAGTTGACTTGATGGCAACGAGTTTGGTTTTGGTATACGTACGTACATATTTATTTACACATACATATGCAAATATATTTTTCTGTTACATGTTAGATATGTAATTAAAAAAAAAGAAGTAGAGTATGAAGTCCTGTCCTCAAGGAGCTGGTAATCTCCTTGGTCTTACCGTATGACAAACCGTGGTCTAAATGCTTTATACTTGTTAACTCATTTAATCCTTGCTGCCCTGGGAGGGGTAAACGATTGGCCTGCTTTATAGACGAGGGAGCTGAGGCTTGCAGGAGTTCAGGGACTTGTTCCAGGACACACAGCTGGTGAATGGTGGAGCTGGCCATGGACCCCACTCTCTACTCCAGAGCCCATGTCTTCCCACTTTGAGACCCAAAGAGTGACTCAGAAGGGAGGGTTACGCGTGGAAGAACTCGGCAGTGGCCCAGGTGTACACAGATATACGAGAACAAGCTAATTATGGGATCCCAAAGTAAAAAAATTCAGAAACAGCATCACCTACCAGCCTTGCACACATGGATAATCTCAAATCCAATATTCTCTCCTTCTCTATCACAGTCAGTCCAGATCACCAGAGCCTGGCACTGCTGCGTCTCTCGTTCCAGAGTTTTCTGAAATTCATGATGGGAAAGAGCACTAAGAGCAGACTCTGTAGAGTGACTGCTTGACACCTGTCACTAAGGAATGGGACTAAACATTAATGGTGCTCTCGGAGTATGCCAAACTGGGTGAAAAAAATAGCAGAGAACACCATTCTTACCAGCTGCAATGATGGTGAGGTCAATAGGGCAGTCTCTCCAGTTTACAAGATTGAGTGGTTAGTAAAATACCCTGACGCAAAAGTATAACTCACCTCTAACATACATCTATAACCTCCAGCGCACACTTATAACTCACCTGACACATGCTCATTTGACTCCCCCCCATGCATACTTATAGCTTACCATTAACAAGTGCTTATAGCTCACCTCTGACAGACACTATTAACTCCTCGACACACACTAATAACTCACCCTAACACACTCTTAGAACTCCCAACACATACTTATAACTCCTCCTGACACACACTTATAACTCCCCCGACACACACTTGTAACTCTCCCGATACAGTTATAACTCTCCAACACACACTAATAACTGACCTCTGATACACACTTATAACTTCCCCTGATACACACTTATCACTCCCCAATACACACTAATAACTTACCTCTGACACACACTTATAACGCCTACTGACAAATGTATAACTCAGCTCTAACAGACACTTATAACTCTCCTGGTCCTAATTAACTACTGGTTAAAAAAAAAATTAACACCCAATGGAATTCCATCCTGAGCTTTCCCAGCTAGCAGTGAACTACAGGTGGTCTGACTGCTTGAGAATGGCACAATTCATTTTCAAACAACCGCTGGCACCGTATAATCTCTTCACTCTAACTAGGCAGGGTGAGGGCTAGAAAAACTAGTAATGATTACTCATTTAAAAAACCACCATCCATAAAAAGGCTTACTTCAATCCTTTGGCCACTTTCTTTTAATGGCCTCATTTACACAATGGGTGAGAATAATCTTTTTAATCATGATACTGAGTTTTTGGAAAACCTTATTTCTAAATTCTAACGCATTCAAAAGACAGAAATCACTTAGTTGGACTACTTTGTGGTTGTTCCAAGCCCAATGCCATATGTCTTCCAACAGATCCTACCTTAATGTCTAGAAAATTCTCTGGGCAGTACTTTTCAATTTCTGCTTCAAAGAGGACGAGGGGATTGCAGCTCTGCCTAGAAAAGAAATGAAAACACAGGAGTCATACAATTTAGGGGAAACACATCCCACCTCAGTCCACAATGGACAGTCATCCATTCTGGTGAGAGCAAACTGCTTGGTGGGCTCCTGCATGGATCCCCCACAGAAAAAGACCCCATGTGAAAACCCCAGATGATTAAAAGCAAGGCTTTGACACTCTTTATAATGCACTTTCCACGTCCCCACAAACATTAACAAGAGTTGCTAAGAAGAAATTCTGGAACCCTTTTACATACATTTGCAATGGGATATAAGGAGGCCTGGTTGCGCAGTGGTTAAAGCGTTCAACTGCTAACCAAAAGGTCAGCGGTTTGAAAGTACCAGCAGCTCCACGGGAGAAAGATGTGGCAGTCTGCTTCCGTAGAGACTTCCAGCCTTGGAAACCCTACGGGGTTGCTCTGAGTCAGAATCGACTGGCCAGCAGTGGGGTTTAGGCAGTAGGATATACGTGATTCAGTGACTGCATGAAAAAGATCTGTCTGTCTTGGGAAAACACTTAAAAGCGTCTTCTTATTCTGAAGATATGGTAAACATTCACAACGAATAGATAATCTTAGGTTATCCTAGCAATATAAGACCAATATGCCTCAAAATTCCTCTAATATTTCACAACTTACTATAACAACCAGAAAGGTCTTCTCTCAGGATTTATACTGACCATTTTCGAAACTGCATCTGGAAATCATGAGCCAGCAAATGTCCAGAAACCGAAGTCATTACCATGGTAACATTCTGAACGACAACAAAATCTGAATTATTCTTTTAGCAATTATATTTTGCCAAGTCACTGAAATAAAAGTGAGGGAATTCTATGACAGGGAAAAAACAACAACAACAATGGACTGGGAACAAACATAAATATAGCTCTGTGAAGCCAAAGGCCACAGTAATACAATCATCATTCTAGTATGACAATGTCTTTTCTACCACTTAAAATTTCTTCAAACTGTTATATATTAGTAGTTACATAGGTTCTCTCTTGTTATGAAAAGCTGAGATGGGACTACGTTTTATTAAAAAGAGAGTTCTTTATAAATCATCAAACAATAACCTGTAACCAGTAGGTCACAACAACAGTTATTTTTCAAAGACAGTGACATACTCTACAATGTCCAGCTAATGCTCCTTGATTAAGTAATTCTAAAACAAAAGCAATTTAAGGAGAACTTGCAGTAAAAAAAAGGAGCCCTGGTGGCTCAGTGGTTAAGCACTTGGCTGCTAACTGAAAGGTTGGCCGCTGGAACCCCCAGCTGCTCCTTGGGAGAAACATGTGGCAGTCTGGTTCTGTAGAAATTATAGCCTTGGAAACCCTATGGGGCAACTCTACTCTATCCTATAGGGTTGCTATGAGTTGGCATTGTGTGCAGTAAAAAGCTGCCCCTCTTAGCCATAGCAGAATACCCAAGGCATGTACACCAAACGGCACATGGACCTGAAAGCACACATCAGCTGTATGAAGGAACTGCTTCAGTACCTACCCGGCCGTACAGGTGATAATCAAATTCATAGATCTTGTTGAATTTAGAAAGTCCTTCCCTCTATAAAACACAACAAAAATAAATAAAATCTATAAACTTAATTACATTAATTTTAGTTTAATTACAATTAATGACTCCTCCGTATAAATATCAAGTAAAACTCTGATAAGCGGGAATATTAAACATACAACAGAATCTCCTACAGATAAAATCTAGGCTAACTTACTAAAATCATTTATTAAGTGCCCCTCAAAACAAAGTCAGCAAGCACATACTTCACAGAATTCATGGAATTTTTATGCTTGAAGATACCTTTGAGAAAAGCTAACTTTTCTTATAGATGAGATTGACTTGTCCAAGGTCACATGACAAATTAATGTCAGAGAAAGGATTAGGTCATAAGTATCTTGACTATTTTCTCCTTCCTCTCCATACATCTCTCCTTCTTCCTTGCCATACAATTGCACCAATAAACTGGACCTTGGGCTAGTCATTCACCTTTCTGACCCTCAATTTATTCCTCCTAAGTTCCCCGGTTCCGAAATCCAATGACACTGAGTCCCCATCAGAACTGGAGTCCAGTCTCCAAAGCATTTCTTTAGCTGCAATTATGGATCAACAACGCCCTCTGACCTTTTCTCACAAAGGCACTGAAAGCAGCTATGTGTGTAATTTTTATGCTAATAATGAACATATGAGAAAAGTCAGCTGGGAACTGGAGAAACAGTCAACAATCAAGAATTACCAGTTACCAAGATTTTCTCTCAAGTCGCTGGGATAAATAATTCCTTTATGTGGCCTTTTGCCTTGGATCTTTGGAGAAACAGCTTGAGAAATTTCCCCCTAAACCCTGAGGATTACCTTTGCCCTAGTTTCTACCCCAGAAGGTTTGTTACTTTTGCCAGGTGGATTGACATTTTCTGGGTAAACTGTGAACAACTTGGTTTGATACTTTTTGTCTGGCCCTGGGCTGGAGTCTGCCCTGTGACTGGTATGCACCTTACAGGGACTGGTCAATATACTATGCAAATGAAGTGACTATGGACTACACAAATGAAATTACTATAGCCTACTATGCAAATGAAGTGTCTGCGGCCTACCCAGAGGGGATTGGTCAGTTAGTGGCCCTTGTGGGAGGGCCATGCCTTGAAATTGATGAAGAGTTTGCATATACATGAAGCCAACCCCAGAGAATGTTTTTCAGACAGGAGGCAGAAAGAAGCAGAAGAAAGAAAGAACAAAGAAGCAGCTGTGGAAGAAGAGGCAAGGAACCTCCTAAAAGAGCTGCAACACGGGTCAAGGGCTATAACACTGAAGACAGCAAGAGGCCCAGAAGAGAGCTTTTGGCAGAGCAAGTGGCAACAGGCCTGGCCGTGGCTGAGTTGGTGGTGATGGCAGGGAGGCTGAAGGCAGAGAGGCCTGTCCTGAAGGGGCTGAGAGGAGGCCTGCACGGCTGAGAGGGGCGCGTGCATGGCAAAGAGAAGGTCCTGCTTGCTTGTACAGCCGAGAGGACCTGAGAGAGGTGCCCTGAACTGAAGAAGGGAGGGATGTGCTTTCCTCTTTGGGGGTACCTTCCAGACTGCCTGATGCTGATCCTGAGTTGCAGCCTGTTGATCCTGATCCTGAGTTGTACCCTGTTGCTTCCTTAATAAACCACTTAACTGTAAGTATATGGTCTGTGAGTTCTGTGTGGCCACTGCAACGGATTATTGAACCCAGAAGTAGAGTGCTGTGGGAGGCATGGTTGGTGTCCAAACTGGTACAAAGGTTGGAGAGTGGAGGTGTGTCTCACCTCCACCTCATAATGATCGGTTTTGGGCTAAACTTGATTCTCTACAGGTTCTGATGCTACTACTCAACTTTCACAGCTGCACAAAGACGATTTTTCGGTATGGAATCGCAAAGCCTGCAGCCAACAATGAATATGGCACAATGGCAAATTTTAAGAGAGAAGTTATTTTAGTATCTGGTACCTAGAGTTCCTACCACCCATCTGTCAGTTTGTCATACTGTGCTGGCTTGTGTTGCTATGATGCTGGAAGCTATGCCACTGGCATTTCAAATACCAATAGGGTCACCCATGGTGGACAGGTTTCAGTGGAGCTTCCAGACTAAAACTAGGAAGAAAGGCGTGGCAATGTACTTCTGAAAATTAGCCGGTGCACTAGAAAAGGATATTATGTTTGGTAAAGTAGAAGGCCAACAAAAATGAGGGGAACCCTCAATGAGATGGGCTAATGCAACAGCCCCAACAATGGACTCAAACATGAGCATCATGTGCCAGGAAGATGGCACAGGACCAAGCAAAGTTTTGTTCTGTTGTACGTGGGGTCACCGTGAGTTGGAGCCAATTTGATGGCAATTAACAACAACCTAGAGTTCAGCTAGTCTAATGTGGCCAAAAGAAAATTCTTCTACAGACTCAAATACTAGTAAGTCCTTTTAGCAATAGAGAATACAAATCGTCTAATCAATAGTTTCTGAAACTTCATTTTAAGAAAGCAAGGAGACTCCCCAAACAAAGTCTGACATGGACTCTGACATAAAATGACCCCGACACATAAAAAGACAGATGTGCTCTGGTTGCAGCAAGGCTGGAGTCCTAACTCAGACTCTTTGCAGTCCAGCCTCAAGTAGCTTCACGTATTGAAAACCACTTGTCTCATCCTCCAATAGTCTGCTGACTCCAGGGCCAGGGCTCTCCCAAGGCCTATTCTACCAATAGTCTTGAAGATATAGAATATTTTTCCTGAAATTTCAAACTTGTCTCCCTGTAATTCCCATGTACTGAGGACAGTATGCAATTATTTGCAATCCCACCTCTTGGGTGAGGTGCTGGTGGTAGGGGACTGCAATGCACTGGGTTTCTCTTATATATGGCCTTCCTGGCTCTGGGTTTGTAATTCTCCAAAAAATGACTGGTTGGGCCACAGTCTGCCCTGTGATTGGTCTACTTTACCTACTTTGCAGTGATTGGCCAGTTTACTATTCAGAAAGGTGGTGTGTAAAACCGCCCAACAGGATTGACTGACTTGCAGTCCCAGGAAGGGATTGGTTGGTTACTGGTCCTGCTAAGAGGACCACACCTTGAAATTGACAAGGAGTTTGCTTATATAAGCTGCCAACCCCTGTCACAGAGGTTTTTGAGAGGGGAGGAGGTAACCTCAAGACCAAGTAGAGCCTGGAGTGGAATGGTTTGGACCCAGGGTTCCTGTACGGGGAACCTTCTAAAAGAGCTGTAATATGGGTCAAGGGCTGTAACGTTGAAGACAGTGAGGGGCTTGGAAGGGACTCGGTGGTAGAGATGGTGACTGAGAGGCCTAGAAGGGTCCTGGCAGCAGAGTCAGTAGCCAGAGGCCTGGAAGGGATCTGGCAGCAGAGTCAGAGAGCTGAGAGGGCCTGCATGGCTGAGCAGGCTACTACACTGGCTATGAGCTGGGCCAGTTAGCAGCAGAGAAGCCGATGGTGGATAGTCAGTGGCAGAGAGAACTGATGGCAGAGAGGCCTGATGGCAGAAAGCAGCTAAGAGAATTGAGTGGGCTACTGGACTGGCCATGAACTGGGGCAGTTAGCAGTGGAGAGGTCTGATGGCAGAGGTACTCTGACAGAGCTGTCCTGCACTGAAGAAGACCTTGCCTCTGTGCTTCCTGCGCCTGCTCCCAAGTTGTTCCTGTTATTTCCAAGTTGATCCTGATACCAATTCGTAGCCTGTTAAAACCAAAAAACCAAACCCATTGCTGTCAAGCCGATTCCGACTCCTATAGGGACAGAGTAGAACTGCCCCATAGAGTTTCCAAACAGCAGCTAATGGATTCGAACTGCTGAACTTTTTGTTAGCAGCTAAGCTTTTAACCACTATGCCACCAGGGCTCCATCCACAGGTATAGGGGTTATGATTTACAACATGTTTTTGGGGGACACAGTTCAATCCATAACAGCATTGTTCCATTCAATACCTGTGTGTGAGTTGTGTCTTTCTTGGCAACCTTGGACCTTGACCCAACAATTACCTTCCGTCTTCCTGACTAAAATGTTAGCTCCACAGTCTCACTGATAGGCTTCCTGCCTTACATGCCAAATACACCAATTCAACAGTTTCTACATGTACAATTGATTACATTCTTCAAGATGTGCAACCATTCTCACCCCCCTTTTCTGAGTTGTTCCTCCTTCATTACCATGAACTCACTGCACCCTAAGGTTCCTATCTTATCTTTCAAGCTGTTCTTGTCAATTTGATCCCATATAGCTAGATCTTAAAAAAGCATAATGCTCAAGGTAGACATTTTTTACTAGTTAAGCTAAACTACTGTTCGAGTTTAAGATGACTGTAGGGGATATTTTTGGTTTAAGTATTAAAGATTATTTCAGGGCAACAGTCTCACCCTCCATGGCTCCAGAAAGTCTACAGTCCATGAGAATTTGACATTCTGTTCTGCATTTTCCCCCTTTTGATAAGGATTCTTCTATGGAATCTTTGATCAAAACGTTCAGTAATGGTAGCCAGGCACCATCCAGTTCTTCTGGTCTCATGGCAAAGGACGCAGTTGTTTATGGATGGAACTAGCCACACATTCCATATCCTCCTGACTCTCCTTCTCTGTTACTCCAGGTGAATAGAGACCAGTTGTTGAACCTTGCATTCTTTTTTTTTAAATTGTTGTAAAAATACATATATAACAGAACATCTGCCAATTCAACATTTTTCAGGTGTACAATTTAGTGATATCACTTACATTAATTGTTGTGCAACTATCACCAGTCATTGCCAAATTCCCATCACCATAAAAAAATACTGCTTCCTAAACAATGGCTCCCTGTTTTCCCCTCTCCTGCCCTGGGTAACTACTAACGAACTTTGGTCTCTATACATCGTCTATTCTTGTTATTTCATATAAGTGAGATCATACAATATCTGCCCTTTTGTGATTGGCTTATTTCACTGAGCATAAGGTTTTCAAAGTACATCCATGTTGTAGCATGGATCAGGACTTCATTTCTCTTTCTGACTAAGCAGTATTCCATTGTACGTATGTACCACACTTTATCCGATCATCTGA